TATTATAAACTGAAGGTTTATGCTATATGTTGAGATTGCTATAACAAAACAATTTCATAATATGATTTATTGAAAATAATAATTAATCATGAATGATAATTAATTAAAAGAACTCTAAAGCAAGTTTGAAGATAACTTCTGTGTATATCTATTTCAAAATGGGGAAAAAATGTTATTTTTTAAAACTATGTTGAAAGCTTGTATTTCTTAATGAATAGATTAGTTGTATGATGATATTTTAGTTATTCCCATGTTAAATAAACACCGATTTCTTAGCTTCACAATGAATAAATTTAACATAAGTGAACATCAATCTAAACATTGTATGATAAGATATCGTCTAAAGTTAATAAGAAAAAAGTATATCTGATTTGCAATGAACAAGTTGTTGATATTCATATCAATGTTGAAATGGCATATATAGATCACAAACATGAAATTATAACTAGTTGATGAAAAAAATTGATATGTGTAATAACGAAGTATTAAGAGATCAATAGAACATGACAAGTAAACAAAATTGTATATGATAAGATTTAAAGATTCAATATAAAATAAAACACACAAATAATATTTGACATATTCATTTTTAATAAAAAATATAGTTTCAGTTTTATTATGTCAATATTCAATGTAGAAATGTATTTATTTTCACAATGAATCAATTAATTTTGATGAATGCAATAATGAATAAAATCATGCATTCAAATAAAAACTTTAATTGATTAGGCTAAATTCAAGAGTATACTTACGGATAAATAATTTTTAAAAAATAAAAAATTTCGATTAAATTAAAAAACTTAGACATGCTAAAAAAATTAAACATGATAAAAATTAAAAGAAGTACGATTTTTTTGACAACAACTCTATGTATGCAATGTTATTGGAAAGTTAAAGATCTAATCAATTACTCATGATAAAACAATCCAGTATACATTAGAATTATATTACTTAATTCTGTTTTTTTTAGATGAGGAAGTAAATATCTATAAAAAAAGTTGCACTGAAACTACGTGAATCATATTCACAAATAACTCAATGATTATAATGTTTTGTTTGATGATGAGATCAAACAAAACATCATGTTAGTTAGTAATCTATTTATGTTTTGATTTTATTATGATTAGCTTAATTAAATTAATAAAACCACTTAATTTAATTTTATCTTCTAATATTCATAAAGGCTCTTAATGATTAAATTAAAAATTGTGAATGAATAAAATCATAGTTGCTAATGTAATAATGGTTGTTGGTTGTTTGATGATCATACATGACTTTATCACTAGTTGATGATATTCATCATGTCATAAGTTTACAAATGATCCATTGGTTGATGGTCATGAAATTGTGAGTTTTGTTTTTTATGAAAATTTATTATAATACATATGTCCTTTTAATTAAAAAATCTAAATGATAAACAAATGTATTTTTTGTAGTTTTTAATATTACAAGGATATAATAGTAAATTAAAAAGATGAATAATCTTGCGTGGATCAGCTAAAAGATGACTGTGCATTAGATATCAAATTTTGAAAAATGTCAAAGACAACAATTTTACATCTTTTAATGTGTTTATTATTCAATTTTATTGAAATAAACAACATTTTTATGTATACATTGTGACCTATGGATATGTTAACTTTATGACTTGAAAATTAAAATTAATGATATCATTACGAATTACAATTTTAATCACATGATATAAAATATTTTCATTCATTGTTTATATTAAATGTTGAAAAGATGTATATTCATGATATAGTCGCTTTTACTATATTTAAAACTTAAAACTATATTATAAGTTATTTAATCAACAGAATTGAATAAAAAAATGTACGCAAAATTATTGTGAAAAATGTTTTCAAGATATTTATCTTTGAATAGTTATTATATTTATCTAATTACATGATTGTGAGTCAATGTGAAAAAATATGAATGAATGTTCACTTGTTATCATTGCAGAAAATCAAAGTAAACAAATAATAAAGCCAATTTGATGTATAATAAGATATCATTGATTAAAAAAGCTTTTTACAATAAAAAAGTATAACAACAAATAATTTACAAGACAAAAAATTAAATTTAATAAAAAACCATGTTTAACCATACATAAGTTTTATTTGTAATGTAGAATTAACAAAATATACAACTTAAAAATTTTCTTATCAAATTAATATCTTGATTCAAACAAAAAAATATTGCAAAATAAAAAAATCCGATGTTGATAAAAACATAAATAAGTAAAAGTGTATGAAACACAGAAAATGATTATCTTCATTCTCTGGTTTATTGTAAGACTATTCATTACATGAATTTTTATATGAAATTAGTTTTATGTGATACAAAACAAATATTTTTTCCTAAAATCAATAAAGATGAAAAAAAAACTGTTATGTAATATATGTGACTTGTATGGTCAATTGAAATTTAAAATAATGTATGCATTACTTTATTTTAAATTTCGATTATTTTATTTTCTATAAATTTTGAATACAAATATACACATTTTATAAATTATTAAGATATTATCATATTTAGAATCCACAAATATTTTTGTATATAACTAATGTATCTGTTATATATTATGTAGGTTTTTAAGAATTAAAACAATATAAATTCTCCAAAACCAACGTAGGTCTTCAACAATGACGAAAACCTGATATATAATCAATTTACATTTAAACGTTCACAAATTTTATCATATATCCAACTTTAAATTATCTTTTAAATCAGCAAGATTTAAGTCAATGTGCATCTGAAAATTTGTGATTTTTTATGTATAGGCAATTGGCTTACTTCATCTTTAAAAAATAAATTTTTTATAGCAAATCTTAGTTAGTTAAGTTAGTTTATAAGAAACAAACTATCAGAGATTGAACTATGATATCAAAATTATTAATTATGTACTTTTTATATTCTGTCGATGTGTCTTTAAATAATATAATTCTCAATGTATTACCTGGAAGTGACATCTTAACAATCCATATATATTTCAGTATTATTTTTCACATGATCAAGTCTCAAGAAGTGAAATGAATTGTGCTTCTAGTACATTTTTTTAAAATTAAACAAATAAATATTGGTAAAAAACTTAGCCATGGTAGAGTTGGAGATTTTGAATGAACGAACAATAATAAAAACACATATAAGTCCAAGTCAAGTACATACATGCACAAGTAAAGTAAATCAACTAAATACGTTTGAATTACTTTTCTAAAATGTTCAGCATTATATAATGATTACTATCCATTGTTTTTGGATATCAAACAAGCGTCAAACATTTTAAAAGTCTTCTCTTCTATTGCTGCAAATTTCATGTGGTGTGATGTAATGCTAATTTTATGAAAATATATTAATTATGTGATAATTATTAAGCTCATGATATATTTCTCCATGTAATTGATATTTTTCATATCAATATCAAGTACTTCATATGAATTAATATAGTTACATAAAAAATCTGTAAATTTGTTTAAAAAGAAGACGAAGAACAGATTTTGTTGTACATAAGATATATACCTTACTAAAATTCTTATATTAAGCATATAATCTGTTGGTTTCATCCATGTTCTGAAACAATAATATAATGCAAGAGCTATTTCAATGAGGTTCTTTTCTTTTGAAGAAAAAAATTATTATTTTCTAGATAGTGTGATAATTTTCATGTGCTATTTGCAAAAGTTAACAAAATTGTGCATGATGTTTGAGACCGTAAGATATTTTGATTATAAAGAAATGTTTAATTTGTTGGAATAATCATAAAAAATTTCTTGGAATCAAAGGAACATATTTTTTTTTCACATAGTTTAGGATTTATCTATTGAGATTCATGTGCATCACAACAATGTTTTTATTTAATGTGCAGAATTATAAACTCATGAATGAGTTGGAAGAACATGAAACATGTAGCGTAATTGTTTTAACAAGTTTTTTTTATAAACGTGTGATATATATAAAACAATGATTTTTTTTCAATCATCATAAACTCAACTTACAAATAATGTAAAAGACGATGTCTTACCCAAAATGCATAATCTATTAGAGCAGATTCAAGAAACAAAGTAAATAACTTCAGTGAGTTTTTTTAATTACGATTATATACAAATTGCAATTGAATATCTCCACAAGACAATAATATATACTAGATATGACGAGTTTGAATGTGAAATAATTACCTTTCAGCACGGATTAGTTTGTTCAATGAATCTATCAGTGGGAGGTTACTTTTCTTTTTCCACGAAGTGACTGCCAAAAATTACAAGAAAGACTCAGAGACCTTTTGTGTGGGAAGTCAAATCGTTCTCGTTCGTACCGTTCGAAGGATCCACCGGACCACCAGAATTGCAAGCTCTTGCGAAATTCATGAATTAAAAACATTTGAGCATAAAAATCTTTTACCTCAAGTTGGCATTGAAGCGCACAATATAACAAGATTAGTATATTCCATAAAGTGGAGATGGATTACGGCAACGAATGCTTCCTTTTCCACTAAATTCAAGATAAAAATAAATCTCTATACCGATATGCTATTTTCAAGTGATGAAAAAATGTGTGATGAAGAATATGTTTGATGTTGAAGACTAATAAGATAAGTGGTTTCTAGAGAAAGTATCTATCTGTTCATATCAAAATTTTATGATTTTTTGTAGTGATCAAAAGAATATATTCTCCTTTGATATAGTTGAGAAACGAAAATGTGAAAATGTGTAGTGTCAATCCTACTACTTAGAGATAATACAGGTTTCTTTAATCATTATAGTGAAGAAATTTTCATGAATATATTTGATTCGCCTTGGTTTCATGTACTTTGCAAGGAACTGGTACCACTATCCACTTGGCCCCCAAACCTCACGAGGTTATGCGGGCGCACGACCCACAGAGAAGCTCCGTCCGTCGGACGGAGTGGGCGACGACAGAGAGCGAAGGAAAGCAGCGACGGAGACGGAGGCAGAGGCGCGGGCTAGATGGGCACTGGCTCCGCTCCGCTCGTCCGGTCCCGTCTCGTCCCGTCTCGACTCGACTCGCGCGTTCTCTCGATCGCCTGCTCGCTCGCTCGCTCTGTCGTCTCGCGTCTGTCGTCGGTGGCCGATTTCTGGTGCGGGGGAGGATCTGCTCGCTCTCGCTCATTCATGCCTGCCACTAGCGCGAACTCAAGAAGGCAAGAACCATGCTGAGTGTGCGCGACACGGCGACTCTGCTGTCGATTCTCGGCGATGACAGATCGCTGGAGATTTGCGCTGCGTCGTTCACCGCCACATTTCAGCGCCCGCTGCACTTCAAGGCCTGCTGCTGCCTCGTGCTGCTCCTCGAGGTGCGTGCGTTTTTTTCGCGACTCTGATTGCTGCTTCCGGCGTCTTAGGGTTTATGCCGGTGATCCTCGGCGGAGATATGTCGTGCATGCTCGTTTCCGGGATCGCTCGGCTGCTTCTTTGCTGTCAATTTGTTGTCTTTTTTTTTTCCGTCGCGGCAGCGAGATCATGGTCTTCTTGCCCAATGCGGTCGTGGTTCTTGCATCCGGTGCCTTTGTTCGCGCTTGAACCCTAAGGTTGGGATGGTGCTGATGGTTTTTTTGTCTCAGGACCGGCGAGTGCTGTCACAACCTCAGCGCCTTGTCGCCTTTTATATTTTAAATGATTTGTACCGCGTCGAGCATCCGAGCACCAACCCTTTCATGTCCATCTTGGTTGATGTGAGTTCTCTTGCTCCTTCTGCGACGCAGCGTCACAGCTGTCTGCCAGCCCTCAGTGACTGATGATGTGGGCCGAAATTGCATCTTTTAGTTTAGCTTTTGGCGGAACTTGGTGTACAGTCTGCTTCTCTGAATGTTTTGATGGTGACTGGAACGTGGGGTTTGTTCAGCTGACGGCCATCTCAGCCGGCGATTTTTAATACAATCACGCGTATAAATTTGTTTTATGAGCCTAGGGTATCGATGCATGGCCGTCAAATCACCCCAATGGCACTGAGATTATAATGCCCGGGAGAACTTGTGTGCATTATGCTTTCAATAATCGGAGAAACGCAGTGTTTGATGCTCAAGTAAACCTTTTGCACAGGCAGCGACAGATGAGGCAGCGGAGAAGGTCGAGTGCGCTTTCATCGTACAAGTGCTGCAGTCTCTCAACAGTAACAACAAGGATGTACGTAAATTTTTTTCGCGATCAGTATTCAGAGTATGGACATGAGAGTGGGAGATGAGTTTGTCCTGAGAAAGCTCATAATTTCGGAATATTCGCTCTGCAGATCTCAAGGAAGACAGCAGAAGAGTTCATATCGACGTTCGATGCGGCTGCCTACGTAGGTCTCTCCATATGTAATCTCGTCAATTTAACTTCGAACTATATTATGCTACACGACTTCCTTCCGGGCGATCTTACATGAACGAGTCGGATTCTTTAGATTAGGTCGGGAAAGGAGTGAATTGCCAGGAGTCCCACAATGCACTGAATTTGAGTTTGCATGAAACAGAATCCAGTTACGAGGGAAGCATTGCGACGGCAATATGCGGATAAGCTGCCGTCGGATCCAAAGGTTAGCAGCTTCAAGAGGGCAGCGATGAACAATATCGTAGCGGATCCGGATATTCCACAGGGCTATGACCTGGATACTCCCGAGTAAGTAGTCTAGTCTGCTGTCTTACTAAAGCATGTAGACAAGCTGCTGCTCCTCAACACCGCTAGAGGAGTGCCATTTTCTTGCATTCTCTATCTCTATAATTGTTGTCGGTGGGCTAGTGGTACTGTTGTTCTTTCTCGCAAGCACAAGTACCTCGTTCTCTTCTTTTAAGTGCTCAAGAGCGGACACTTTGAAACCGTAATCTACGGACTGTCATATCGCTAGACCTTTCTGTATTTTTCAATTACAGCAGGAAAACGTGTTTGACTACGATGTCCGTGTGGCTGACAGATTGAGTGAACCAGGCGGAATACGGCGAATTGGCGGGGGTTTTAGAGACGCTGCGGTAGTAGACATGATAGAGTCGGCATCCTTTAAAGGTTTAGAGCCACCATGGGTGCGAGTACCCCCTCCAAGGCTTCCTGTACAAGACGGAGAGGTACGACGTTTTCGCATGCCCTAATCCATAAGAGGGGCCTGTTCTTTGTTTCGTCATTTTAAGTACGTCGGTTTAATGTAGGTGCTTCATTACAAATCCGTTATTCGCTTAGAGCTTGAAGCAGTGTATGAAATCACGTCGCGAAAGGCTGCTGCTGAGACTGTCTTCATGCACATCATGTTTATAAGTAAGCATCGCTGTTGTGTTCAATGTGCAATGTGGAGAAGCATTCAGGTTGAAGATGAGTGGTGAGTTCCTGAAAGAATTTCTTTATGTTGAACAGATGATATGGCTCAATCCGGAAAATAGTCATGAGCTGCTATGGGATCACGGGATGTGTGCCGATACAAGCCGCGGTGCCGCAGTGAGGGAATTGATAGCCCGCGCACTGAAAGGAGCATTAGCTCCCACCCAACAGCAGGTGGATATTCTCAAGCCCTTCAAACATGTTACGAATGTATGATAGTATACAAAAGATAGAACAAATTGGGGAATTCTTGGGGAGAAGAAAGCCAACTTGTGGTAACGTCCACTTGATTTTCTATTTATCCTAAGTTTTATCCGGCATCACCTACGGGTAAAGAGTTTCAAATGTTGAAGATGAGTAACAGCTTCGTCAAAAGCGTGTAATTTGGGAGGCATCCAAACACCGAGGTCACCTTAATCTGAATTTTGTAGTGGCGGACTGGGAGTTACGGGCAAAATAGGTTTTGGATTAGCAAGCGACTGAATGCTAGGGGGCGTGTCAATAAGTTAGGTCCTCAATCTATTCGATTTAATTTTGTTTTGCTGCTGAGTCTTCATGAACATACCAAACATAATGTTGACGAAAACCAAATGTGAAATATGGAGTACCGAAGAAAGCATGGCGTTAAGTAGCTGAATTATTAGCTCATGGATCGGACTCTTATGCGAGCTAACTTGGCACAAACCTTGAATTTATTAGAGGAGAGGTGAGGTTTGTGCAACTTAAAGTCAATATAGTCAGTCTTATATCTATAAAATACCTTATTGTAGCAGGAGCAAGGTTGTGTCAGCTACTATGTGTTTGATAAGGTTTAAGAGCAATTGAACTGGTAGCATATGTTATCGCAAACTGAAGTCTTTTGTGAGAGATGAGTTTTGTTCCATGTTAGCTAAGTCTTTGCAGGTTGAAGTAGTTAAATTTAGTGTGAATCAAGAACGACTTGGCTCTAATCCTAGAGACTTGAAAGCTGACCCTTGACTTGATGGTTATTACTACAGCAAGTTTTGATGGAACTTGAGGCGGATCCGAAGCTCGTGTATCATTGTGGCTTGACTCCTCGCCGGCTGCCTGTAAGTCCTCTTAGTTCGATCGCGAATATATATATTTTGTGCATTTCCAGCTGGAGCAAGCATTGTGAAACACTTTTCGGACCATTCTGTAGCGAGATGTACAAAAGTCAAGCTTCTATGTCATTGATAGCACGTGGTCTGATCTTTTCAGGAGCTGGTGGAGAATAATCCCGTGATTGCGGTTGAAGTACTACTCAAGCTGATGCACTCGGTCCAAATTACAGAGTAAGGAAATGAACCTTGTGTTCAGAAACCATTCGGGAATCGTAGTTTTCTATGTCTAGCGTTGGGATGATGACGGCCTTCCTGTAATTTCTTGGTTCTTCCCGCCGGCATACGATAATATCACACGTTTGACACTGGGTCCTAGAGAGGTACTGAGAAGAGACATCCGCATTAATTGGTGCTCTATGCATGATTCAGGTACTTCAAAGTTCTGGTGAACATGGATATGAGCCTGCATTCTATGGAAGTTGTGAACAGGCTCACAACTGCTGTGGATCTTCCAACTGAATTCGTCCACATGTACATATCAAATTGTATATCATCTTGCGAAAATATAAAGGTCAGTGATCATAAGGGGACGGATTCTCATCGGGACTGCTATATCCTGGCTTTATCGGTTTACTGCAATTTTTTCATCGTAAACGACGTAAAATGTGTACTCAGATTGTAGTCAACTCAACGATACCAATTGAAACATGTAGAGATAGAAAAGCTGAAAACCGAGCACAACACTGAGATAGGCCGAGGAGAGGCTCTACTTGGGATTTAAATTTAGAATTCAGTTAGGTGAATTCAACTGATCAGATGCACCTGATCCATACCACTCAAGACGGTGTAGAGGCTTTTATTGACTATTTGGGTGGCGGGATGCTTTGCAGGATAAATACATGCAAAACCGCTTAGTCAGGCTGGTCTGCGTTTTTCTCCAAAGCTTGATTCGCAACAAAATCATCAATGGTAACCCACACTTTTGTGATACATTTCACCTTTTCTTTCATACAGACTTCAGAGTCCATGCCTCCTGGCTTGTGCTTATACCGTATTTGAAGTATGGGTCGCTAGATTGTCATTGTTGACCTTCGGACACGATCCGAGTTTGTTGAGAAGGCCGTGGTTGATTTTGTGTATTCTTGTGCAGTTCAAGACCTTTTCATCGAGGTGCAAGCGTTCTGCATCGAGTTCTCGCGAATCAGAGAAGCAGCAGGCTTATTCCGGCTGTTGAAGACATTGGAGTGATCGTAGAATGTGATAACAAGGCTGTGCATACACCCAAAGAACGGTTATCACTGTACATATTGTATCTGACAGTCCATTGTTCTAGAACAGAAATTAGTCAGTCCACCACACTTACACAATTTTTGGAGAGCCTCAAACCCCATTTGTGCAGGAATAGATCCATCATAGGCCTCTAGGGTTGAGATCCAGTACGAAGAGTGAACGCTAATTCACGTGAATCAGTCTTTTGAATACTGTTAGGCATTTTGGCAATGAAAAGGTCACATTTCAGATCAGTTCTGTTATCGTGAAAAGCAACTGAGCGAAGGGACTAATTACATCTTTCTATCGAGTAAGTCCAGATTACATCGCTGCGATCAGGCGAAGCTCAACGCTTCACTGTTCGCTTGACCTTGACGCGAGTCGACTCGTCTTCTTCAGAGCATACGAGAACATTTCCCACGCTTCGTCAGCCGTCACTTATTCTGGGCTCCTCGCCAATTCCACGATGATGTGTACTTGGCCGCCCACGTGTTTAGAATGGACGCCCCGCCGTACACGAAGTTTTGGCGTGAGAGTCTTTGCAGCTATCTAATGTTCCGTACCGTAGTGCTCGTCGGAGCCTCGAGTTCGTGTGCTGTCGTATTCAAGCCCAAGGGAAGGAAGCATCAGGGTGTGTTGTAGGTTCCAATTGCAGTGTACAGTCTCATAAGCTCTCGAAGTTGAGATGTTCAACAGAGCGGCTTCGAAATCTGTTTTTGAGGTAGAGGAGACCGAGGATATTCTTAACTCGCTTGAGGCACAATTTCCGGAGCCATGTAATCTTGAAAAGCCTTCATGGTAGGAAATGAAAGTGAGTAGTGCATGCATGAAACCGAAAGGTGTGTAATGTGTCCAGTCCAGCTCTATTATGTTTCGTCAATATGTGCATTAACACGGTTATTGCAAGATGATGTTTTACTGTAATTTATTTTGTCGTGATCAGGGTTCAAGTCTAAGAAGTCATGAGCATCTTCGAGCAAGTACATGCCAATCGGAATAGACTTCATACATGAGTTACTAATTATTCACGAAAAAAGGACCAGCACCAAATTTTGACGCAAAATTCATGGAAAAACGCCAATAAGACGTCATCAAATGTGGGAAATGTTTCAGTGGCAGATTGAGCCAAAACCATCACAACGAGAGATGTGCCACCTCAGAAAGTCTAACGAGTGACACTTGTCGCAGTCTGTCACGAAAGGGACAGTTCCTCTAGCTTCTGATCCTGCGCCTAAAGCCCGTCGAACCTTGGGTTCTTTTGATACACGAGGAATCAGATTAATACAGAATGGAATGAAATGGAGAGAGATTCGATGCCGAGCGAGGTGGAATATCTGTATCCGCCTGTTGAAGAATGAACGAGAAAAACCTTAAAAAACCTCAAAACAGGCTCCGACAGAGATCGTTTTGTAGGAAGAAAATGCCACATTGGAGCTGATTGATCGTACGTACGTACCATCTGCCTGGTCGTGCCTCGAAGTGTCGAGGCGCAGCACAGCTTGAGACTTCGCTCGATCCACAGCCGCCGCGAGCAATGCTCGAGAACATGTCAAATGCTAGAGATGGCAAATGTGCACATTCCCGCAGACTAATGAAGAAGAGAAGACCGAAGGTGAAGGTGACAGCTTTCGATGACGGTCGAAGAGTGAAAAATGAATCGATGAATGAATGAGAAGAGTGAAATCGTTCCATGCCAGGCCAATTGTCCCTCGAGGTAAGAGAGGTCCGATCGACGCGATCGACATCAAGAACCGAATCGATGGGTGACGAGGCCGGGAGAGATGCACAGAACGATGCCCATGGCGATGAGCGCGACGCCGGCCAAGGCCTGCAGGACGGGGATGCGCTCGCCGAGGGCGGCCCCGGCCAGCGCCGTGGCCGCGAAGGTGGTGGCGTTGGTCACAGGCACGGCGATGTTGATAGGACTGTCGCCCAGGCGCCGCATGAAGAAGACCGACGCCGCCAGATTCATGGCGAATGGCACCGAGTACTCCCACACGCGCAGCAGCTCCACCCAATCGCGCACGAACTCCACCACCCAAATCTTTCCTCCTCCTCCTCCTCGTTCTCGCTCTCTCTGCTCTCGATCTCGCTGCTTCTCTTGCGCCTTCACGGCTCCGCGCTTGATCAGAGCATTCGTCGTCCCCCAGACGCTTCCGATCGTCAGAAGCCAAATCATCACCGCCTCCATCTCGTCCTCCGATCGGCTCACCGATCTCTCGACCGAGTGTCTATCTGATCGAGAGGGAGTTCTTGGGCCAGGGGGCTGGCGATGGAGGAAGGCCTGTCCACCACGACCAGCACCAACTTTGGCTTCTTCGGCTTCTTCGACCTCTTCAAAGCTTCGGCTTCAGCTTCAGGAGGCGAGTGCTTCGACGCGACGAGATCGAGATCGAGAGCATAAGACCTGACAGCATCGCGACGGAGCGTTTTGTGGAGCGAGCCCTAATATAAAACCCGCACGACCGACGACGGCCCGACGGTGCCTCTCTCATCGGCTCTCATCGACTCGACTCGTCCTGTGGCCGGAGCCCGTGCTTTTCATCATTCGAGTCATGGAGGCCTGCGCGCGCTCGGCTCTGCTGTGCCCGTGCCTGTCGCGATGGCTGCCCTCGTTCGCGCGATCCAGCGCCTCGCGCTTCTCTCGTTGCCAGCGGAACGAACTCTATTCATCGTCGTCGTCGTCGTCGTCTTCTTCTTCTTCTTCTTCCGACTCGAGAATCGGTTTGGTGGCAGCGGCGGCGAGGAGTAGGGAATTCTGGAGCTCGCGGTCGGGATTGGAATCGGGATCGAAATCGGGGTTGGGATTGGGATTGGGGGAAATTGATCGGTACGAGGGGAGGAGGAGGGCAGTGCAAGTCGGACGACTGCGAATTAGCACTCTCAGTGCACTGAGCGGGCGGCCTGAAGATGGCGGAGGCACGAGCAGCGGACGGGCGCTCGATAGAAATCTGGAAGAAGGTTGCGTGCAAGCCGTGGACCAAGTGGCGACGGGCCTGGTGTCGCACACGGTCGAGGAGCCCGCGGTGGCCGAGCTTCCACAGGGCGAGGACGAGGCTGAGGCCGGGGCTGCTGCCATCGCTCGAGAAGGAGCTCCATCGCGAGGAGCTCGAGCGCAGACGAAGCGCACTTGCTACTACTTCTCGCAAGGGCTCTGCACGCTGGTGTGTATGGCTTGATGATCGGCCGGTGTCTAGAAGGTTGCGTGAATTTGTCGATTGTCAGTAAAATCGGGAGCGAGAAATCGTTTCTCGATGCAGCAGCGATGGCGGATGATATCTATCTTGAAGCTCTGCTTTGCAGATGGAGGACGAGCTGCACCTGTCGAGGTTCAGCCACGAGCTGCCGGACATGGCCGTCCGGGCCGACGATCTGGCCAAAGTGAAGCCGCAGCCGTTCGACTTCTTCCTCGTGCTGGATCTCGAAGGGATGGTGGAGATTCTGGAGTTCCCCGTGCTCCTGGTCGACGCCAAAACCCTTCAAGTTGTCGATCGCTTCCACCGGTACGCGCACCGCATTCGGCCCTGGCCTCCCTCCACTCTCGCATCTCCCTCTCTCTCCTCCTCCTCCTCCTCCTCCTCGATTTTGCTCGAGAGAGTTCCACTGCGTTCGATTCTTACTGCTGAAGGTTTAACGAACCGATTTTCGGCCGCGGATCTCAGATTCGTCCGCCCTGCGAAGATGAGCGAGGAGCGGATCGAGGACTACATCCGCAACAAATACGGCAAATGGGGCCTCGAGAGGTGACCTTTCTTGCATCCCTCCATTCCTCCATTCCTCGCTGCTTCCATTACAATGGAAGAGCTTCGCGGGAAACGCTTTGTTTGAAATTTGTGCCGGCGGCTTCCTTCTGATGAGCCTTTCTGATTCGGTGCCTCAGAGTGTGGCACGACACAGCGATTCCCTTCACGGAAGTGCTGCCCAAGTTCGAAGGCTGGATGCGAAGCCACGGGCTCTACGAGCCGGAGACGCCTTCGAAGTTGAGCACTGCGGCTTTTGTCACCTGGTACAGAAACAATCGCCTCCCTTCTCCTTCTCCTCCTTCTTGCATACGTCTTCCACTTGGTGCTCGAGAATGTCATCTCTTCGTGCTTGTACTCGAGGATCCGACCGAGTGACAGAATCCATTGCTGCTGGCAGTGGGAACTGGGACGTGAAGACCAAGATACCGGAGCAATGCGTTACGTCGGGGATTGATCTGCCTCCTTACTTCAACGAGTGGATCAATCTGAAAGACATCTACTTCAACTTCTACAAATTCAGGGTGCGTACGGGAAGCGTCTTGATGAGTGAGTGAGGGAGTGATCGATTGATTCCTGACGCCCGCTCTCGCTTTTGGGAACTGCGTAATGAACCTTTATCTGTGATGGCAGGCCGGAGGAATGCTGGCCATGATGAAAGGCCTGAAGATGCCCATGGAGGGTACGCATCACGTAGGCTTGGACGATGCGCACAATATCGCCCGGGTGTTGCAACGCATGCTGGCGCACGGCGCCATTATTCAGATTACCGCCAAGCGCAAAGCTGATGACCCGAAAGCTGTAAAATTCACTTTCCGGTTCAGAATAAAGTAATCTATTCACACCTGTGCAAAATGTCTCCCGCTTCGCCGTATTCGGTCGAACTTATTGGACTGGTTCAGCCTCGCGCTAGTCTGACAACGCCGGGAAGAAATCTAAGTAGATATAAATGCAATGTGAGATGGGAGGCCTTTCATTCCGTGAGACCTCAACAGTGCATCAACAAGGCCAAGAGATCTTACGCTGACCGCTGCGAATTTGAATGTCTCCGTAGAAATGACGTGTGACCGTCGTTTCTACGGGCAGGGAACCCCGCTGTAGCATTTACTCTAACATTATTACTCGGAGGTAACTCCTTATCCCCCTGCAATTGTGTGACAAAGCAGCAACTGATGACGGTATACCTCGTCCCAACCGTCACAACACAATTTCCTCATCATCTTGCAATGTCTTGCTCAAAATTCCTTTTCAGAGCACAAAGCGCCGGCGGCAGTTGGCCGACTGTTCCAATTCGGCACTCTTCCTTACATCTCATCCGCTTGTCATTTGGCACGGTAAGCAAACACCCAGAATGCAGGCAGAATGCAAAAATAATGGACCATTCATCGCTCATCTCTCATCTCAGTGACATACACCGTCGACCGACATCGATCTGTACGAAGAGTCTGAACGACTTTTCCCTTTTCTACAAAAAGCCCACTTTTGTGGCATACAAAATCTGACTGGAGAAAGTCGGGCAAAATAAATGTACGTGTAGGCCCAGAAGTGGTTGAAAGGGAAGTGTGATAAAAGTTGGCTGACTAGCAGTGCGGAAAGAGCATAAGATTTAGCAATGCCCACCTCAGCGTAGAACTAAACTACTACACCAATCCAAAAGTACAAAAGCTTGGTTCACAGCGGATTCTTCCGCTATGTCCAAGGTCATCTCGCCTAATCATCTGGTCGGCTACATCGATGGTGTTGACACTTTCATAGGCTGCGGGATGTAGGGACTACAAAAGCTTAGAAGCCCGATCGAGGGAACACCTCGATCGGAAGAGCTCAAGCATGGGCCGGCAACAGCACAGATGCTAGTACTACGGTCCCACAAGAATGTTCACTGATCTACACTAGGGCAATGGTGCTGCCCCCTCCTGGGGGTTTCCGGATCCCACCGATGGAGTCTCTATTCACAGGCTTGTCGTCTTTGAAAATGTCGCTGCCGCTCATCTCCCGCAGTTTTGCATGGCTGAGATGATGGTGAGGATCCGCAACAGGCGTTTGAGGATCGTCGGCGAAAATATTGTTTCCACTGAGCTCAGCGATTTTGTGGGGGTCCACTTTCCTCGCAGAGTTCGGAGTATCGTCGTGTCCGAAAGCTATCTGACTACGGCCTCCTGCAGGCTGCAATGAGAAACAACAACAGGCTTCAGGTGTACAAAACTGCGAAGTGAGGGGTCAAGCTCGAGCCTGCTCCAGTTCAGTTTCTTACAACAAAACGCAAAGTTACACACAGGACTTACATTGGAGACTTTGACAGAGGTACGGAGATTGCGAGGTGGAGCCTCTGCATAACCATCCTGTTGCTGTTCCCTCACCTCCATTGCGACGCGCCGAGGTGGCGCATCAGGCGGAGCAGGCCCAAAGATGTTGCTACCAACGAGTTCTTTGGCTTTGGCGTTTGAGAAGCTCCGGTGCTTGAGATCTAACGTGGTTTCCGTGCTCCCACTCAGCTCTCTCTGTTTCGCAACTTCGGGGATGGAAGTTGGCTTCTTGGGGGACGTCAGCTCCTCGCCACCGAACTGGATTTGGCTTACTCCACCTGCTGGCTGAAGTTCATGAAGGCCACTTGTACTTCAGCTTTCACGTTAACATGATTAGTGGTGGGATCATTCTTTGATGGCGGGCGGATTGAAGCCATGATGAGAGCACAAATACGAGTCCAGGAGCCGCATTCTGGAGTTTCACTGTATTGTGAAGCAGTTTTAGGCTCGATATAGCTAATAAAAAAACAGCATGGGAACTTTCCTGAGTTGTGTTCGGGACAAGATGGCTGATCAGTGGTCATCATCACGTACTTGAGATACAATCAAAAGAAACGATCTGATCCACTGAATAGTAAGACAAATTATGCAAGGGATACCTATGGCCCTGGGCTTCTAGTGCTATGGAGATACGGACATTTCGATGAAGAGCCTCTTCTCTCCGTCTTGGATCAATAATCCCAGGTTCATAATCAGCAAATATCTCGTTGCCCATCATTTCCTTAGCTTTAGCATTTGAAGGCCGCTGTACAGAGGTTGAAATCCTGAGGTTCTAGATCAGGGAAGGTCACACCTTTCCGTAAAAGCTATCTACATCACCATATGTCAATGACCTCACAAGCTTACCCATATGGATATAGTAACTCATACTAATTTGCAACCATGAAAAGGATGAGGTATACATGTTCGGATTCACATATGAGTGACAGGATTACATATTCTCGAGGTCAAATTGTGGGTGCATTCTCTACGGTGGTTCGTAGAGAAAAAATACGATCGTACAGGAAAATTTAAAGGTTACAGAGTGGTTTATTCTAGGCTACCAAAGGTGAGGAAAATCGCGAAACGTTGGCATGGGACCAGTGACCACGGAGACAAGCAACTACTTTCGAGATTGTCATGTTTTTGGAAACACTCATATGACCTCATGGGAACCCCACATCTCGCGGCTTGAACTTACCTGGTGTAGTCGTACGCAGGTTCTGTCTTGAGAGGTAATGCCAGCATGCTCCCCGCCCTCTGCTCCTTCGACAAATATCCCGCTTCCAAACATTTCTTTCCTCTTCACTTCGGACCCCGGACGCCTGCATGGCAAAAAGCTCTGTTGGAATCACAGAAACTCTGACGAGGGACGAGTACCTCCACTATGCTAATCATCCATTTCTTTTCAGGTGACGTTGGACTTGGAGTTTGCTTGGGCTTTTATAGTTCGAGGGAATGTGAAGGGTAAGTTTGCTAACGCTGATTCTTGATCTCTGTTGACAAGTGCGGCTTCTCCAAAGATCGCATTTCCGTACATTTCTTTCTTCTTGCACTCAGAGTTAGGTCTCCTGCACTTGAGTACAACTGATCATTCGCAAGATTCCAACTGAATACACATGGGGAGATCGAAATCTAGAAAGGTTTCTTTTCACCCGTGTAGCCAAGAAGATGACAGGTTATAAGTTGGCTTCCTAAAGGTTGTTACAGGTACTGGACTGTCGCATGCCAGACTGTAAGGGGCATGCAAACTGCCACCTTAAGGATTGAGGGTTTGGGAGTCGGAGAGTTGCCAAGGGCACCGCAAACCAATTCGAAAGGGTGAGAAACAATCAACATCCAACCCGGGGTCTCTGACAATTAACAACGGAGAAGTCAACGCTACACGCCACACTACCAGCTCGATCGAATTTTGACGTGACGAAATGAGGAATATCTGCGGATTACCTCTTGACAAGGGCTTCGGCTTCTTCGGGCGTCATCTGCTCACCGAATGCAAATGTGCTGGCTCCTCCTGCAGGCTACACGCTCACATTATCACTTGTGAGAACAAACTTGTGCAGCTCTACTCCTAGATGATGATCTTTGGTATGGTAACCAGCCAAACCTTCGTTCAAACACTTCTGAGTTCAGGAGAAAGATCGCTTCTTGACAGCTTCCACGACTTTGGATGGCTTCAAGGTTAGCCAGCAAACAGCCAAGCTGTGGCACAAATACCGTAATGGGCAGTATGGGACAAAACAAGAGACCAGGCTTGCAATAAGCAGCGGCGATGTACATCAACCCGGTATTCGAACAGAGCTGCGATATTCACTATGTATCTGGCGCTCAATTCTAGTACCTCCTCTGATACACTCCAGATGCCCGCCAAACAGAGGTGGAAGTGCAAATCGAAGCCTTTCACCTTTTACCTGATGCATGCGAATGGTTGGCCGACTGGGAGGGCTGGTGCAACTCTGATCGCTTGCGGCAGCGAACGCAGCGCTGTCATTTGTAGCTGAGTGGCGCACCGCTGTCCGTTGTGTGGTGTCAGGGCCCTCGGACCAACTGAAAAGATCAAATGTAGATGGTCCTCCTGGAGGGGTAGTACCCCTCTTCAGGGTACTAGCGGGGCTGTTTTCAACAGGCATTGCTCTCTGTTAGGATTTTAGCTGAACGTAGTCTAGGAATATCCTAGGACCTGCTTGCATGCGAAAGTGCTTATTCTCGACGCAATGCGGAGCCAAGACGAACTCTAACTGCTTCTTGGTTCGACCAAAACTCTAGATGATCGACTTTCAAGCCTTCGATCCTCGTGGAGCTCCCAGAGACGAAGCCTCTTCCTCGCTTAGGGCCGTCAAATCCCCAATGTCCTTCACTTGTCCACTAGCTAACTGCAGTTGGCTGCCGGGAGGACGCCGTGCGGCAATGTACTCTGCATGGAAATTTAAAAAAACCAAGAAACTTCTCAGTGGGCTGCATCCGAAGGCGGCAGAAGACACAACATCCCGGAGGATCCGATGACCAGGCTCACGAACGCCTTGTACGGTGCAGCGAGAAACAGACGAGAAAGACACGAGAGATGATCCCGAATGAAAAAAGACAGACTCACCACCATCGACCCTACGAAACGACGCACAAACGTCAGCAAAACAAACGCAAACGCACAGACACTAACGCACAACCCACGGGCTCTCACTTCAACCTCGCAAGAGCCCAGACAATGGCAGCGGGGCGGATGAAGGGGCGAACGATTCCATCGATAAGGACACACGCAATCGCTCACTCGCTCACTCACTCACTCACTCGCAAACGCAACGCAAGCGAGAGGCTGTCGAGCAGCAGTCAGTGACAGTATCCCGTCAGTGAGTCGGGGCACGGGGCCAGTCCTGGCCTCAGCGGGTGCTCTACAGTTGACACCCGACTCACGAGAAGGGATAAAGAAAACAGTGACCCGGACCAAAAAACTCAGCACCAAATAAGGCGGAAAAACAACCTGCAGAATCAGCGCGCGCTACAGCACGTAATGGCAGAAACTGCAAGATCCGTAACTCGCCATAGCCGCAGATCGACGTCGCCCGAGACCCTGCGATTCGAGAGTGCTGCGCGCGCGCAATGCAACAGGAAAGGGGCCGACGAGAGCGACGCGAGGGAGGGGGCGGGGCGAGAAAGGCACGAGCGAGCGAAGGGAGAACAAGAGAGAGCGAGAGCCAAGAGCGAAGAGCGAAGAGAGAGGCAGCAGCTGGAGGACGCTCCGAGCCAAGGCCAGCAGCAGCGGGGAGCGGGGAGCGGGGGCCGGGAGGGCGCGAAACGGATTGGAGACGTTCAGAGACGTTCGGGCGAACAGCGCCCGCGCCCGCGGCCCGCCCCGCTTTCAGGGACGACCCCAGCTCAGCTTGAGGTCGCGGTCCGGTGAGCCCGACGACCCTTCGCCTCGGCCCTTCCCTTCCCTTCGCTCCCCATACGAGGCCGTTTCCGCGACGTCGCCCGGGGGACGTCACGACTCGAGGCTCATCAAAAGCGTCGCATGCATGCCAAACAAGGAACTACAAAGCTCCGTCTAGAAAGAGGGTGTGGAATAAAACCTGCAGCTTACCTTTTCTGCGTCTATGTACGTACGTCGTGTAAAGGCCTACTTCTCATATTGATCGGGTTGGATGTTTATTATATATCAGAATTGGCTTTATGTATTTAGTAGTACGAGGATTTTTGTATTTTTTAGATTTGTACGTTCACTTGACTGAGGAATTTTTTTTTTGTTTATGAGGCCATTACGCTTAAATATAATTTTACAGGACATTAAACATGTGCGTTGTCGTAGGGGGCGAAGAGGAGGCCAGTCTTTCGGTCACACGCTCCATTTATTAGTCCTGCAAGGCGTACAAACACCATTTGCCCGAAAGGCTGCAAATGGTAATAAAACATTGAGGCAAAGGACTTTATGCCTTTTCTCGGGCGAGCGCGACGGCGCGTAGAACTCTCTGGGACTTGGAGACCGGTCCGGGGTCGCACAGCTGCGGCCGCGACGACGCCAAAGCGTGCCCCCACGGACCAGTTACCACCTGTTGCTACCTCGAGGGTGTCGAGGTGGTAACTGGCTCACACGAGTTTGAATGGAAAGCAGCCCTGGGACGCTGGGCCCCGCGGGGCCGGACCTCCACCGCCAACATCCGGTCTCCGGTGAGCGAGCGCAGCTGCGATGTTCTCGTGGATAAGTGGCAGCGTGCATAGGACAAACATGATACTATATTCAAGAATTCAAATTGGTACTATTTAAAAAAGGCTTCCCATTTCTTCCCGCAGCGCCTGGGATTTCAAAATCTGCCCCGGGCGGAGGGGAGGGGCAGGAGGGGACGGCGTCGCCATATCTGAAATAGGCAGCGGCAGCACGAGCATTCATTCTACTGCGGAGAATGTCGAGGGAGGGAGGTCCAAATAGTGCACGAGATTCTTCTCTTGCTCAGCAGGTTTTGGCACTCTCTTCTTCCGTGATTTCGAAAAATTCCGTCTCGCCGACTGATATTGTGCAGACACAACATTATATTCGACACATTTCTTTGACAAATTCGACATGAAGAAGGATTGTATGCGAGCGAAGAACTTGGAGATGCTAATCGTAAGTGCGGCTCCAGTTCCGGGTAGTGACACCACTTGGAGGTTGGAGGATAAGTCTTGTCTACTTTCTCGGCATTTATAAACTCTCCGACTGGAAAGATCCGCTCCTCGGGCACTGTTTGAGTGTCAGAGTCTGTCCAGGGAGACATACAGCACCCAAACGAGCAAGACAGCGAGAGGTATCTGGGAACAAACTACAGTGCACGTCTGGGATACTTGCGAATCCGGGAGAGTCCGAACTCGAACTTCCTCCATGTGGTTGCAGCACGAAGATGGGGACGTCGTGGTAAAGGACAATGCTCATTTTCTTACCGTCAATCGAAGAAGATGAGGAGGAGAAGGTGGGAACGTAGTAAATTAGCCACATCGACTCTCCTTGTTGCTCCGTAACTGCTGTTCTTCCAAGACCAGCACACGGCGAGCGCCCCGACAACAGCTTTAATCTCCGGTCAATAGCTTCTAACTCGTCAACACTCCGGATCCTGATATCCAAGTTTGAAAAATAGCTCCGGCTTGTCATCGCATCGACAAATCATGTCCGGAGCCTGCAAACCTGTTTTCAACTTCAGTTCTTAGAAATCGAGATAGCAGTCGATCGCGTATTCTGCCAGCAATCTGGCTTACTTGACATGACACAATCAAAGAACCGAATTTCTCCCTTCCTTCTCATCTCTTCTCGTCTAACCCAAATCCGTCGCTGCCTCTTCCCATCAACCACCGCGTGCATCTTACACCGACGGCCGGGCTTTCCGTTCAGTGGACATACAACTGTCCACTGACTAGACAGAGAACGTGCAAGACTACCTCAAATTGGTCCCAAAATTCCATCCCGGCCCCTGGCAGCACTGCTCATCCTGTTTGATCGACGCAGTCCATTCCTCAAATCGATTCATGATTGACGGCTGGAGTTTGATGTCCGGAAGTGTACAACGATGGAGGACGTCGAAACTCGAAACCTCAAGACCCTCTTCGTCCCATTTCCCCGCTGCCGGATCGCTCAGCCTCGGCCCCGACCACGAGCACCGAAGCTCCACCAGCTCCTCCTACCGCAACTATGGCGCCGGTCCATTCAGACCTCGTTCCATCCATCCGTCCATGCCAGTCCAGACTCCACACTCCACAGTGCCCGCTTTCCCTTCGGTCTTCCCGTCTTACCCTATATAGTACTTTCTGTAGACTCTGAACCCGCTCGCGGTGCATGGCGAAGCCGAGTCGGTGCAGGACGGACCTAGGCTACGTGGTTGGTGGCTGGGATTGAATGGTGTGGTTCGGATAAATTATTTGAAGGAACGGACGAGATTCGCCTCTGAAACTGGGACAGGCCTTCGACGTTTGGGAGGACCACACAGCGGACCCACGGCCTACCAGACCTGGTAACTCTCTTTGTGTTGTGCTTCGTCTTTGTTTCCAACTCCAGCATTTTACCGAGAGCGATGAAGTTCACGGGATATTTAATTCGGACGATGGTTATCACCCCCAGGGAAGAAACATGTGGCGTCTATTACTTACTAAAATAGCATCGCGATAAATACAACTATCCCCTCTCGGATCTCTGTTTGGTGGAAAGATAGCTTCCAAATGCTTTTAAAATATAAATAATAACATTTTATATTCAGCACTAACTGTAGCAATCGTTCATTCGTTGATGTTCATTATGTATCACATCCAAAATTCGAAAACTGATTTTTGATTTTCAAGATGAAAACAGTACAACTATCAATGTTGCATGATTAATAGACGGGTGTGTTACCACCCCAAACAAGAAACATGTGGCGTATATGACTTTCTGCTTTTTGTTCATTAGCAACCACCATACATTAGTATATATATATATATATCACATTTTTTGTAACTGAAAACACCAGATTCACAAGACCAATAATGTCCTGAGAACCTCATACATGACTCCGCTCGACAATTATATACGTGGTTCACCTCTGGGGCTACGTCCACGGGTAAATGAGATCTTTACTCACATATCTTACAAAATGTAGAATGAGAACTATGTCTCGCATACGAACCACTCCAGGTCTAAACCTAAATTAACTCTAACTTGAGTGAAATTAATTGGAGTTTAACCCAAGACTTTAATTACTATTAACAGTTTTACTTTCATGTGTATGAATTGATACTACCGTCTATAAATATGAAACTAAAAACATACTTCTTTGACCTTTCTTCTTTGAAAAAAGTAGTTGTTGAGTGTTTTTCAACCATGAAAGTTACAATTATCGATGATTCAAAAAATTCGTTTGAGTGTTGATCATGATGTACTAAAATTTATCTGCTCAACAACATTATGATATGAAGTAACCTATTGAATAATAAAACTTAAAACTAAATTTGCTTTCCTATCTTTGAATGATGATATTGAAATGCTTAAAATCAATTGAACCTTGGTCATAATTTCAACACACACTTTTGTTCAAACCTGTTCTCCAAGCAACAATCGATTACAAATATTTTTTATGAAAAATGAGAGGAGATAAAATCATTCCAATCCTAGGTTATTAACTGTTGAGGTTTGATATGTGACTTAATGTTTTTATCATACAGAATTTAAATTATATTTATTATATGAAAGTATTAAAGATATAGTGAAAATTCTCCCATGAGTGTTCATACAGTCTATGGACTTATAGGGTTATTATAAAAGCAGGTATACAAATCTAAATTAATTTTTTCGTAATGTATTACCGCAAAATCTGGTAAAAAGCAAGTTACATTCTAGGTAAAAATATTCAGGTTTTGTGCACCATTTGACTGACTGCAACACATATTTACAATAATTTCCCTCTTTTTTCCTTGACATGTAGTGGATATTACGGTATAAATGTTAAGACTGTAGGTTTTTTTTCTGAGATGTTGTAACATATTGATCTAATGTATATAAAAATTAAGATGCCTGAAAATCAATTTTGAACTCAGATCCACCATTATATACAAATATATTTATCACATTTTGAGTTTTGAAGATATCAAAGGAATCGATTAGTGTAACTGTAATAGACATACAGATACACACGATGATTTATTTTGTTTGAATCCTAATTTTAATGATTTATTCAAATCTATTACAATTTAATTTGCATTATTTTATCAGTTACATCTAATATTATCATGATTGCTTTCAACATGTAATTATTTGAAATTATTTTTCAAATCAGTATTTCAAGGTTGAAACATATGCATGATGTGGCCACGCAATATTTACGAGTTTATTTCAGAATATTTCAACAAACATGAACTCTATCTACTACCGTGAGATGGATGAATCATGCAGTATATGTTACTTCTAAACATGTGTATATGTACAGTCTATATTTGATTCAACAAGATGATTTGAAATACATATATTTAAATCTAATACCTCTATATGATTGAATATTGAACCTATGATTATTATAAATTTTTCATGATTCTCCATGATGCTAAATAAAACTAAAATTAAAATTTTCATACCCAAGCTGTAAAAATATATATCTATTATAGAATATTCAAGGAAATGCTGAAGATCTATTTTTCTAAGAAAATGAAGCTAAGATAAAACAATCTGTATGTATGGACAGATAAGTTTATATGTTCTTACTCTAACTCATTATTAATTCAGTATAATTGTCAATTAAATACTATATATATATATATGTGAAACTATAATTTTTTCACAAATTGTATGAAGATTATAAAAAACTAAATTTAATGATCATCATTCTTCATAGACTACATTACCATGAGTAACAAAATAAAAATTCGTAACAATTACTTTCCAGTTATAATCAAATAATGCGAACATGCATTTTTTGGATATGTAATCTTAGATTTGGAATAATATAATATATTTTCATTTTACCATAAATTTCTACAATATATATGATGACTTATCATGGAATATGTCATGATTTCAGGTAAGGAATAATTTTGATAAGAAAGAACGGTAAAAAATAAAATTTGCAATTTTTAAGTTCAATTATGAATTCATAGTTTATTAAAATATATTTTGTAAACTTCAGGTACTGTAAAATTATAATAACGGTAATACTCATATATTTTAACTTAATTAGATATATTTGAGAATTACTCATGAGATTTATTTTTTAGATTTTAATAAATATTTTGATGGTTTTGAAATATCTACTGTCATGCTATTAATTAAAATTATAGCTTTTTTGAACAATATAAATTGTGATTATATTCGTCATTAGTCATTTCAAATTAAAGCCTATAATAATTCTATGATTTACAACAAATTGTGTACAGTTTCAAATTTAGAATGAAATTCTAAATGATCATTTACAATTTTACACAAAATATGTGCTATTATTACATTTAATAATTCTTTGAATGAAAAACATAATTTATTTTCATGTATTGAATCATTTTTGAAGATTGTGCTGTTAAAAAAAGCCACATATGGGCTAAATGATAACAAACAAATAGTAATCCTAATATGCTTAACGTTCTCAAATTATTGAAGTTTTAATACATTACAATCGTTTTTATAAATTTCATTTTATAGAATAATATTTATAACTTAACAAAGGGTTTCCTTATTTAACATATTTGAAATCCAAAGATTGACTTTTAAGTTTCATTCATATATGTACATCTTAGAATTAACTTCAAACAAATGATTTTCAATAGATTAGTTATGATAATGATTTCTTCTATGGTAGAATGTGTTAATGAGTGCAACATCAAAGTCAAATGAGGGAAAGCTTACGGGGTTATCAACATTTAATGTATTTGAAATCTTTGTATATAACCTGGAAATTTTAATACATGCATTAAAATTCAATATATACATATTATATTTATGATACATTCCATGATATATTTCACTTTTACAATTTAAGGAAAATCTTGATTATTTTGTTTTCAAAGTCAAACTTGAATGTAACTCATAATGATGCCATGTGTCCATGTAATCAAAATATAAACAAGTGAATGTAAATCCATGCTACTTATATTTTGTCAACAAGCATTGATGTATTTTGTTCAATAGAAAATGATAATGTGAGAAAAACAACTTGAATAGTCGGAATTAGTTGGATGCTTTACGGTAAATAAGAATGATCAAAGACTCAAAAATATAATATAATTGTGGAACTTTTGACATTTGCAAAATTCGTTATCCATGTACTAAAGATTAAATAATTGAAATAAATGAAGACTATAAAACAAACTTGCTATTCTTTAACTGATCAGTCTTTGGATTCTGATTTTGATGTGTACTTCACATGTTTTACTTTAACATGGTCAATGCATGTCATCTCAGGCTCCAAATGTCATTACAATAGAGTCAAAATGGATGTGAAAAATATTAAAATATACTACCACATTAATAAAATATGAAAAACAAATCTATTTTTATAAAGAATAGGATAGTCAATCTCTAAAGTATCATGATAAAAACGACGTATAAACGAAACGAACATCATAATGATTGAAGTTTATTAATTTGTGTGTACACCTGTTTTATCTGTACGATATGTGTATGGACAATAACAACAGGTTGGATTAAAATAAATGATAAATTAAACAAATTATTCACAGGAGTTATCTATAGCCATGTTTATAATAGTTACTCGCCTAAATTAACTAAATACGGTTAATTTAGTCTACTCAAATAAATTAATTTAGGCTGTTAAAAAACGCTAATTTAGACTATTTAATTATTCTTAAAAAGTACATTTAGTCTACTAAAGAGTTGATTTCGGTCAATTTAAACTCTACAAAATTTGATTTAGGTCACTTTAGTCTACTAAAATTTTGTGTGTGAACAATTTGAAGTTCTAGGTCTGAATTTTTTTTTAATTTTTTTGAGACTATTTTATAGTAAATATTTTTATAAATTGAGAAAAAATAAATGAAATTAAATTAAAATCCGTCAATATTGCAAATGTTTCACCTCCCCATTGGCTATAACATGTAGGCGCCAAATCACATTCACCTTAATTTAGTCGCCTACTCACTACATAATTTACTACATAATTTTGGTAATTTAGGCGACCGTATATACGGTCGCCTAATACAACCATGCCTGGTTATCTAAGATGGAAGCAGTATACATTTATATTTTACTAAAAGTGAATTATATATACTTGAACACCAGAGATTTTCAACGATTAAAGTCAATTTATGTTTATGATATTGGGTCGGATGTTTCAAAATATATCGTTCATGGCATCTAACAACTCGTATATCTTGTAAAATCATTTACTAATTTATAAATCAAAGAATTAAAATATTGTTTACAGCGAACCAAACAGATTGTGAACGACGGATGATTTGCATGAGTTCTTGTAATCCACTTGCATCAACAATGGAGCAAATTGAAAGGCATCACAATGTCGAGGATCATGAAAGTTCAATACCTGAGAGATGCAATGAGTGCAAGCCTGAAGCTCTCATGTCTCCATGAAGTCGAGCCCACATGAAGCAACAAGCGATTTAGCGAGACATGAAAGCACGCACCATCATTCACTCATCTCGACCATTACTAAATCCGCGGTGCTGCACGTACCGTAGATGCCAACTCCCATCATCATCACGAAATCAATCAATCAATGGAGAGAGCGAGCGAGCGAGCAATCGATCTCTCGCATGGTGCTCTCCAAGATACGCTCGAGGCGAAACATGGAAGGACAGGAAGACATGATGACTGCAAGATCCATCGAAGACCCGAGGCCGGCCAAATGAACGAAAGATAGATATTTATATTCACGGAGCTCGCAGGTTTGGGTTCGGGCTCCACCAGGCCGAGGAGCGCCAAGCCTCGCCCCGCCCCGCCCGCGCCCGCGCCAACGCCCGCGACAACGTGCGGGAAGTCAAATTCAAATGCGAGGGGAGGCGCGGGTGAAAACAAGAAATGATGCGCGGGTGAAATGATGGAATCCACGAGCGGGGACGCGAAAGGAGCAACGAGAGAATTAATGTTGTCCAAGAAAGAAAGCGAGAGAGAAAAGAGTCCAAGACACGCCGCAGCAGCAGAAGGGAAATGCATGGCAGGCAGGCAGCAGGGCAGGGCAGGGTAGGGCAGGGCAGGAGGGCACGAGGGCAGGCAGGCAGCAGGGCAGGAGGGCAGCAGGGCAGGGCAAGGGAGGGCAGGGCAGGGCAGGGCAGGGCACATGTGCTCGGGTTGGTCTTCGAAAGCTGGTGAATGAGAAAGCAAGTACAGTACCGAAATGTGTGTGTGTGTGTGTGTGTGGGGGTGTGGGTGTGGGCTCAAGCTAAGCAGCACTCGTCCATAATTATTATGTTTGTGGATAACTATATCCCTGATAGGCCTCGTCGTCATTTTCTTTCTCTCCTCCTCATCCTCCTCCTTTCCATTTCCTTCTTGATGACCTCCATGTTACATCAACCACTGCGAAGACATCTCCAAGACATCTCGATCCCCACGGGGAGAGAGAGACCAACACACGAACGCAGAGTACTCGCGTGAGTGCGTGCGTGTGTCTGTAGCTGTGTCTGTACCTTGCACTGAGTTGTGAATAAAATGGTCGAGAGGTTTATTTTGTGAATGAATGAAACAGAGAGTGCTTTCGAATCGACTGCCGAGTTGGTATTGGTGCTTAGGTGGGCGTTCACGCATCCGTTTTCTCTCGAGTTTGACAAACTGTGGGTGTTGGGTTGTTTGTTTGTTGCGTTTAGTGCTGGTTAGGGAGGGGAGGGGAGGGAGGGAGGGAGTAAGTGAAGGCAGGACGAGGGTGATGGAGGGGCTAATATCGAGCTCTTGTGGTGTCTGTTTGGTGACGGTAGTTGGGACGAGTGTGGGTGCAGAGAGTTTTGTGAGAGCACGTAAGTGTGACGCTGCCATGCTCGTTTACTCTCAGGTGAGTGTGTGGAGTCGCTAGTGTGGACGGATGGATTATGGCGTTCAGGTGTTGATGGAGGGTAGAAGCGTGCGTAGTGTCGTGTCGGATCTCAGCTCGTCCTCGGAGCTGCTCGCGTGGGCTGCGAGGAAGATGCTTCGGAGTCATTTACTGAACCAACATCTCAAAACTAGCTACATTGGGACCAAGGTGTGCTCTTTTGTGATGCCTCAAGAGCGTGTTTCGTGCCTCTGCTCACTTCAAAGTCTGAATGGATGGCCACTCCAAGCACCGCGACTTTACATCGTATTGTGACGATGCGGTGGGTCCTTACTCTCGCTGCGATGCCTCCACCAGAGGAAAATCAATCAAATGTTTCACCGTAGATAATGCCGACGTTTATCGTGAGATTTCTTGTATGATATTGACAGGAAGTGACCAGTCTGCGTTGTTTCGTACACAAATGGTCAAGCATGTGTTTCGGAAAGTGGAATCCAAGGATTCCACTTCAGTGATGAAAAGCTGTGGAGCATCGTTCCGATAAGGCGGGAGGAGGATGAGGGGCTTCTGGAGAATTCCAACATTTCTGAAGAAGAAAGTAAGGATACATATGTAATAAACCGAAACAGCAGAAATCGCAGCAAGGTCCAAGTGGAGTCTAATCAGTGGATATGTGAAAGATTTGATGGTGCTCTTTGACTGAAAATGCCCGAACCTCAAACCCTAGCACGCTGTAAATTGTGGCTGAGAGGGAGGTGTACATCCGCGAATTTCCTAGAACGCAAAGCCAGAAAGCACAGACACTGTTGAGCTGTCTCGGTTATCAAGATGGTCATTTTTCATCGGGGCAAGTTGGTGCGCTGGTGAAATAATTGGCAACCGCATTACTGACTGCTCAATTTCTGTTCCACTGATCTACTCCAAACAGACGATCATCGAGAACGTAGCCTTCGGAACCCATTACCCTTTATATGCTTCGATGTCAGCAACTAGGTTGTGGCAAGATGTCCTGGAATTAATAAACTGTTCCCAGGCTCTCTCTATACAGCATCTGCTCATCGAGTGCATGTTTCTGCCTAACATCCTCTAGAATCTTCTGCATTCTGTTGTTCAGAGGAGCTGGTCCAGAGCTGGTAAATGATACATTTGCACTCATCTTCTTACTCGGAATGGACTGCAACCAGCCCTGTATACTGTAGAGACTAAACAGCCCAATTCATAGCTCTCCAACAATGGTTTCAGAGCAAGATTAATTTTCTTTAATTGTGCACACCGTCTAGCCCCCGTTGATACGGACACTTTACTCCCGATCTTTTGGCAGCGGAGTCATAATTGGAGGATCTAAGATTCGAATGGGGATGAGTCATCCCCATTCAGTCATCCCGGATGACTGAAGCACAAGACAGCTGCAAGGTCCCTTGCCACTCCTATCACAGCAAGAAACTTGCCTGCGTGTTGACCTATTGGATTGATGGGTTAACTTTGGTGTCGCATTAACTGTCATTTCAAATTACCAAGAAGTGAAGTCATTTTCTTGTCAGCTGACATGAGTCCAGATGGGACAAACTATTTGCAGATACGGTAGTTATAAAACAAATCGAGTTGCTTTCACAACGTACGATGGTGGAAACAGTGGAAACAGGAGTGGTGTCCCACCAGGCCAAAATCCTGGGTGGGGTATGGCAAGGTAGAGTGGACAAGGTGAACATGGTGGTTTACTAGAAAACACTGAACTGGTGTAGTGCATGCAAGCAGGTACGAACGTCTTTGCCGATAATAGAGCAATTATAAATCAATTTTAGGCAGAGATTATTAAGGGAGCGGCGATGTGGTGGATACGATGTGAGGTGAGCTTAGGAATATGATTGAAAAGTCTTCTCTGTCTCTCTGTCCCTGACCTAGAGAATTAGTCAACACGGGAGTGCTGCCTTTGCGGGAAGTGTATCATACAGTTGCATCCCATGTTTTGTACATACCTCCTCCCTTCGTATGTCACTGTCTGTTGTACCTACTCCTTGTAGGGACCGAGCGAACCACCCACATGCAGACCTGACGAACATCAAAATGCATTTATGCCTTTTGCTGCCCTTCATGTGCCTGCCTGCCCACCTCTAGAAAAACGCTCGAAAGGAAAATGGTATTCATGTCCAAAATAACATGATTCCTTTGCATCATCCGCATACATCTTTACAATTTGCTAATAAAATGTGCACTTCTAAACCTCTAAATGTTCTAAGCAGATTGTTTACAGATTCCATCCTTCTTTCATACAAGCGGCGAGATCGCTGGTGTGACTATGTTCCTAAATTTCCGAAGGAGGCTGAGGAGGGCACGCCGTGACAAGTACAAACCACAAACCGAATAAGTCCGAGCTGTCTGGAACCAAAGTACAGGACTTTGCGACCTGAGGATCCAGCGCTCAAGCATTTGCGATTGATTGAGGGAGAAGGACAAAACTTCGTGAACAGCAGTCACAACTTGCAGTAAGCAACCAGCAAAAGACATTCATTCATCTCTGCAGACTAACCTTCCCTGCGGGAGATTCCGCTTCCTGACTTGGCACTTACTCCACCTGAAAGTGCATGAAAACCACGCACACCATTGTGACTCTTTGTGATCTATCCTACTTTCCTCACAGCAGGACATGCATTAGTTACATGCATTTTTTGTCCCTTTGATAGTGCCTTAGTTTGACTGCATACACAATCACGTTGATTCTCGAGCCTAATCTTGTCCTTTAGTCTTGAATCCTCATAATCGACTTCACAACGCATGCGGAATTTTGCTATACTTCGCACGAGCTGCCTGCCAGCCCTGAGGCCTGAGTGGACTATCCAAGAAGATTGCTGTCACTGAACCGAAAAACGCACAAGTGCTCTGCCGACAACTGCACCGCTGTGTTATCAACCGTACTGTTATTTGCACGAGCAGTCAACCGGAACTGGAACTGCTTAATCCTTGTCCCAGGAATAATGCTTTCCTTATGCGTTCTTTCCTGCCTCTTCGTCGTCAGCTCAGAAAAGAGGTCTCATCTCTCTGTCTCTGTGAGGAGACGAGATCACACCGGCATCAGAGATCATCAGACTCTATCCATAGAAAGTAAGACCAGGTCGGTTGTGATCGCATTTGGCGTGTTTCCCAGTTTTCGTCCTCATTGAGATGATCCGCAATGTACCATCTTTCTGTTGTCAGAAGGGCTGCAGGCCACTGTTCCCTGCCGATGAGCCGTATGGAAATACAATATGGGGAAGGAGTGTGGGGGAGGCGGTTGGTGTGGTGGGGGGCATGTTTCGTCACTTGCCGGTAGATACTGCTCATGTAGAATGGGTGGGTCGGAAAGTAGTAGTGCGGCAGGGCGAGATCGAACCTGTATGAAAATTGACCTCACGCTCCGTCACCGATGGTCAGATAATCTGAAAAAGGCCGTGATTGTAGCAGGCCGGTGATTCTTCCCTCCGCTTGGTACGGTTCATTCGGCTCTGATCTTCGGGTCTCCTTCACATCAATCATTAAGCATCCTCATGTTCGAAAGAGGTTTGAACTCGAAGGGGGAATGACTGCATCGTCCTTGGTCGCCTGATGGGTCAGCACGTGGCAGCGCTCTTCCTCTCAGCTTGTTGTCAGTTCGTCTAGGAAGGTGCAACTGGGAGGTCGATTCATGGAAAAGCATCACCACTTTGCAACCCCACTATCGACGCTCTCAGAACAGAGTTGGGAGATTTCCGATAAGAGACACCGCCACAGCATCTTGCCACAGGTAACGCTTCGCCGGTCTATCGGCAGTAGGGTAAAATGGCAGCAAGGCAGTTAGGTAGACGGTAAGAGAAAAGAGAAATCGACAGTGAGATGGTGGATTCTCGACATCATCTCCAACACTACCGTGCGATGTGCATAATACATCTCCCACATATCCTTGGTTGACGGTGCACAAAATCACTTCCTTCGTGGCCGATTCCAACAGTATCCACAAAAGTCGATCACTTACATACAGCTCATGCTTACATTGACTTACTGATAGTGAATTCCATTACAGTGGATTTGGCACGAGATTGTGAACGAGAAAGACGCTTCCAATGGGCGTATGGGACCGTACTTCTTATTACTTGGCAGGAATTCTTTTAGAATTGGGAACCTACGGTTTTTAAAGTCTTTCTATACCGATTCCCCGTATTGCAAGAAGATAGCGTTGTGATGAACAGAAAAGCAATTACATAGGAAAGGGCGGAGACTAGCAGACGTGCAGGTTCTTGGTACGGTGATTGCTTATAGACTCTATATGCAGGGCCGTCCAGACTGAGTAGAAGTCTTGAAAAAGCCGAGGATAAGCAAGACAATACCGGGACATTCGTGCTGTCATGCACGCATCATGTTTACAGCCGTGTGGAACTTTTCTTTAACAAGGAGACAATCCTCATCTAGAACCTTACCAATCTTCACACTTCAGAACCCTTAACAAATACCATCGTAACACGTGAGCTACACAACGATGAAGCCCAAAGTGGGCCAGAAAGCAGCTGCTTTGTATAAACTGCTCGTCCTCTCATAAAAGCATCTGGCCCTTCTCAGAGCCTTCAAGCTAAAGGCATGCAGCTCCGACTGAGCTACAGCATTGTACATAACAGGATCTAATCCATCACTGAACTCTGGATCCAAGCAACCCCGAAGATTGCAGGCTCAAATAAATCCTGCACGCGTGGAAGGGTGTTCAAAGTAGATACTGGCCGGGGTTGCTCCGTCTGCCTCTGAGTTTCTACTCCTTTACTTCGTAACTTGCCGAGAAATGTGAGACTGTGTCACTGTCCTTTGACCTAACTGCAGCCTCGTTTACAAGGCATCGGTTCGACAAGTTCGTCTAGAATCTCCGCAGGAGAACTCCGAAGAGTTCTGTGGTTGGCATGGAACGGCTTTGTTCCCGAGATATGGACACTTGGATGCACCTGACTACACTCAACGACCTCTCCAGAACGTCCCACAAGCGAACCGATGTATGTATGGATCTCAGTCCGACAAATCAGGACCGCTCCAGCAACGGACTACGCAAGAACGCTCTACTCGGTTGCAAAAACTAAATCTCAGCAACTACTATCGCCATTTTCCGCTTATTTTTCCAAAGGCCTGTATCTAGCACCCAGGCCCAAAACCCAGACTGGTACTCCATAGATTAAAAATCCTATGGCAAGAGATGTTAAGATAGTGAAGACAGGATAAGCGTATGCTCGCCACCGGTTTCTGCCTTGATGCATAATCTGTATCTCGGCAACAAATGTGGAGACTGTGCTCAAGCAGCCAAGCAAACCTAACTGTAGCCCTCCAACAAGCAGTCTGGCATTATAGTTCCCGACCTGCAGTCAAAAGAAGGGCGATGAGTCCTCAAAAAACATTGCAGAGAAAAAGACAGCAGCTGAACAGCCGAAAACAGAAGACAGTACAGATAAATAACAGCTACTGGGTCTTCTAAGAAAAGAAAACGAGGACACGTTGGAACTTACCGCAACTTCCACCGTAGCTAGGGCAGCCTCGATTGTTGATGCAGATACATTCACCAAAAGAGTTCCAAACGGCAGCCATCTAAGATAATGTTTTGATCCGATACCTTGTCCATTAAGCCTTGCAAAGTACCAACGCATCCACACACCGGGAGGGGCAACAAGACAAGCAAGCCACAATGTTCTCCTGGAGCTCGAGCTACTGTCAAAAACGGTCAGAATCAAAGATCCCAACCATAAGAAGCCTCCGAGAAGTACAAATATCATTAAACTCCAATATCGACGACGAAGATTGTCCGGTGCAGGTGCTTGTAATTTTTTCAATCCTTTCCGCCCTCTATTATGATTAATACGTTCAAGTATTTTATTTAAAAGTTTCGCTGAATCCACCCCTACGATTAGTGAAATTTGAGCGAGTTCCATACCTGCCATCAACACAGGCCGACAGAAACTAGGCGTCAAAACATATGAAACAACGATGTGAATCCCAGAGCCCTTTAACTTCAGCAAAGTATCCCTTCAGTCTCTCTAAGGAGTCTTTAGTATCCAAACGAAACACTTTTCAACTTTTCCAGCTTCCTGATCGAGAAGATGACATGTAAGTAAAAATTCACCCATTCAGCATGTCATCTGTGTGTTATCCGAAGGTTCATCAGATCACATAACCTCAAAAGGTGCGAGTTGGACAAAGCAGAGTGCACCTCAACATGGGAATCAGAATCCAATGAAACCCACCGAGTAAGAGTCCAACAATTCCATTCATCCAGTGATTCCCCACCATATTTGCCATCATCCTTTGGATCATGGCCGCATATGTGGTGATACTTCCCATGAGACCGGTGGACAGGCCCACTGCCAGATGCTCCGAAAATAGAGATATGTCCTTCTTGTAAACGACTCCAACCCACCCCATAAAAAAGGACCCCAGCTGCAAACGCATGAAGAGGCCAGCATCAGTAAAGGATGAAGCGATTGAAAATAAACTTCTCACTCAGTTCGACACAGAATTAGAGAGCAGATATTTGTGTAACTTGGAAGGTAAAGGACAAACCATATTTGCCGGAAGATCGTTGAAAAGTGCACTATTATCGGTGGTGACTCCTGCCACCGGAGGACCAAACAATTGTTCCAAACCAAACCTTATGAGCACCTGATGAACATAAATTGGCCATGAGTTACTTCACGCGTACTTCCGGCTTAGGAACGAAGAGCTCTAATAACGATGCGGGACATTATGTACAGGTGGCCAATTTGAACACTACAAAGCTAACTCTGGATTAAAGTTGGGCTTTCAGAATCAGCGCAACAACAACGACTGTTTAATCGAAACAAAGATTTTAAAATGCACTTTGATCATCAAATGCTCAATCGACCAAATCCTATACATTGAATCCCAGATACAAACATCGGTTCACCTCATAATATGAGCAACACAAGACTGCGTTGCACAAGGAATGACTAGTATTTTTGAGGAAACAAATACAAACAGGTTCTTCTACCTGTGGCGTCCCCTAAAAGTAGTATGATTTTACAACATTTCTGCTAAGCATCCAGAAGCCAGAAGGCTTTACTCACCCCAATAATTCCAAAAGCTGTCAGGTGCGCGAGGACCGACAGAAATTCGAGCCAGCTGCACAATTTGCCCTCGCCCTACGGGAAATATCGTCATAATAACGGTAAGCTCTCTGTTGATTGTTTGTGTCTTACATGAACTAACCTTATAATGAAATTATAAATTCAGAGAGGGAAGAATCTCAAACTGGCTAGCAAATTGATGTCAACGTCTTCTTGGTTCAGAAAATTGGAAAGAACCAGATTTACACTACATTATCGAAGGTTAGGCGATCCGTAAACGACAAAACCAAGACAAGAATGATTGTCATACTTGCAATTGCCCTGAGCTTCTGGAGGTGGACGCGACTCGGGCCTCTTCGAGACCCTTTTCTCCCAGTTCTGCGGAAAATATATTTCCAGCCTCCAAGGAAGAAGAGTGGGGGAATGCTCCACTACCCAGTGAAATCCTCGCTTCTACTGAGTCGGGGTCATCAATTCTCCGAGCTGAACCTGAATCTCCTGCCATTCCTTCAAGCTCATCTTCTTCCTCGGCCGAGAGGGATCTTGAAGACGAAGAACCGCTCGACGATCCAGATCTCCTGAGATCCAATTCTTGCTGAATTTTGGATTCTTTCAAAATTCTTGCTTCGTCTTCGACACTCTCCATTTTCGCGGGCCGAAAGAAATATACCAGTACTCTAGGTGATTCTCTCGGAGACTGCTAGCTTTATACTCTCGTTCTAATCTCGTCCTTAAATTCGACAAGTTCCTGACGAGTTGTCAAGATAAATGTCCAAAGTGCATCCCCAAAGCGCACGTGCATCGTTCTGGATAAAAGGACCACCGCACCTCGTTAACATCGACTAGCTGAAATACTCCCGCCAAAGACTTACTTATACGAGCTGGTCCATAGATATTGCTGGGAGAGAGCAATAGTACAGAACATTATGACAGAAACAATTATTTTTTTCATGGCACCAAAATAATACTGATGCAGCACTAGTTCGCGACACAATGCTTCTCACACAAAGTATTTGGTCGAGAGAGCTTATATCATGTTCGTACATGTACCTCCAGTCTAAACACCCGGTAAGCATTCAGATTTCTCCACATAATTCGTTCGTAAGAATGTAGATGAATGAATACAGGGACCGGTCACAGATAATACAGTTACGATCCTCTTCATTTAATGAAGGGCTGAACCTCTGAACCTCATTAGATTGCTGGGCAGGCTAAAAGGCTTGAATTCAGCACATCTAGGTAAAACTTGAATTATCCAACAGCGTTCAAATTTGATTCACCCAACTGTCCAGCTGATTAACACAATGCATCAACATCAGGAGCATGACCTCCCAATCTTTAAGCAAGCAATCACGAAAGACAGGCCAAGTATCCCCGCATTCGAGAAAAGGGGGATTCTGAGCAAGCATGTAGGAATCGCGAGAGAGTAGAACTCGAGGACTGGTAGAGACTGCCAAGTCTTCTCGAGCGAGAATCAGACGCTACATGTCATGGGCATCGTAACGAACAGGTGCAGTTAGTGGTGCCCACAAACGATTAAAATGGGTGCACAGGAAGAAGACTGCAAGTGTGAGCTGGGAACAAAATGCACCAGTGTCACGACGAAGACGGCCAGTACATGCTTGTTGGTGTAACTCCATAGCTCGACGGTAGTTGTCGCAGTTGGTAAGTAGAGCAGGAATGTCCACATCAAAGACACGAGCGGGCTTCGTACTAAGCTCTGCCTGAACTTGCAGAGAGAGTAGAAACACCAACTCCATGGAAATGAGTGCACAGAAATCAATCAATAATCTTAACCAGCCAACGACGGCGATGCGGCGACAAAGCAAGCAACCGCGCAGCGACGCCGAGACAGCAGGAAACCTGTCAAGCAGACAAAGTCACTGAAACAACCTGTCGCTCACTGAAGCCAATGGTTACACCCTCCACCGTCCGCAACCTGGCCTTCCTCACATTGTCTCCTCGGGAGAATTCCCAAGATGCTACAGATCCCCAACACTCCCATCTGCCTCGCAACTTCTGCGCTGGAGGAGACAAATTCGAACTCTATAATTCTTCCCGCCTCTCTCGTTCTTAGCCCAGCCCGCATCATCCTCACACCTCTCCAATTTCGTACAATCCAGCTCTGACTCCTATCCTTCACGTCATCCACCACTTTCCCATTACGAAAGCCATCACCGTTCGTCAGTCAGTCAGTCAGCACACAGACAGAGAGAGCGAGGGAGAGAGAGAGAGAGGAGGCAAACGAATTGGACCAGACTCTCTTGTGGATTCCCTCGCTCACAAGCGCAGGCAGTGAGAGAGTGAGGCAGACGGAGTGAAATTCGGTCTGGGGGCACTGTTTTACTCATTTAATTGGGTTCGACTTCGACTTCGACTTACTCTTAGATCGGGGCCGATGGCCGCCACCTTCCAAGCTCGTCGTCGTCCATGTCATTCATTCCACACCTCCCACACGCTCAAGCTGGGGACCATCGGCGCAGGTTGCATCTCCACATCATCACCACCTCAAATCAGCTCCTCGCCCTCCTCCTCCTCCTCGTCGTCTGCGAGTGCAAAAGAACGATCAAGAACGCTCATCCGGGGGAGGGAGTTTCTGGGGCAGGCCGGCAAACAGCCCTTCCTCTCGAGCGCTCCCTCCCTCCCTCCTCGTCCGACGCACTACCGGCTCTGTCCACGCTCCACTTTCCGTTTCTGGAAGGGACGACGCTCCCCGGGATTCAAAGTTTTCCATCTGCTTTCCCGCAGGGCGGTCCTTGTCGCTCCACGTGGCGGTGCGATGGGCAGTCTGTCGATCGATGGACGGTGGTGAGGTCCGCCGGACGGGACGCCGGACGGCATCCCGTCCGGCGACGTAAGTTGACGTGGGTGTCGAGTCACTCTTCCTTACGTTCGTTGACCGCATGACATGCGTCACGCAGTTACGGCCTCGTGGTCACGGTGATGCACTGTGTTGACCACGTCCACTCTGGCTTCCGACTTTGCCCGGTTCCGTTCGACAGTGCTTCGCACTCATTTACACCGTTGACCGCACGCACAGTCCAACCACGTACCGTTGTACGTGACTTGCTCGAAAGGACCTTATTGTTGTTTGACTTCCGATGCACCGGATGATAGTACACCCATTCCTTATTAAATTTGTACATCGCATTTTCTAGTACGTTCACTACATTGTACCATCAATTCCCGTTTGGTACACACAAAGCATTATCTTAATGGTGGTAATGATATCAAAATATTTCATTGGATTTCGTCTATGACTTTATTACTGATGTCATCTTTACAGAGATAACCTTATAAAACATCCGCAAATTGCTGTGCAATAATGATCATATTTTGATTTCGAACAATTCTCATCTTAATATTCTCATGTAACAAGATTAAATGAGATTATGTGGTCTTTTTGTCAACATATTTTTATTTCAAATTCTATATATGATCATATAAACTGTGAAGAATGATTTTAACTTGTGGAAATCAAGTGTAAAATATGTCCCCTCACTTTAGGTTAATTCTCAGTTCTTTCTTCTTTAATATCTGGTGTAACACATTGAGTTTTTAAAGCCTTAGAACAGTGACTTTGAAGTAGGAAAAATAAGTTGACCAAGGATTGACATGTCAAGGGCAGGTACTTTATTCCGCTGAGAATTTATATTAATAATTAAGTTATACATTGTTCGCACTCGGAATACATTTCGTTCCAAATAACTAACATCACGAGGGCATTCATTTGCTCTGTATTTAGATAAAGTAGATACTCAACGATGAAGAAGAGATTTGTGATACTCTACATCTTTTATCGACACCAGGGGGTTTATATTCCTAAAAGTTATGAAAAATGTTCAGCAACTAACTACTCATGCTCAATTCAAAATAGAAATTTAGTTAAATAATTCTAGAGACAAATTTAGTCTTGATATAGTCATTTGAAAAACTTCCAAATTAATTATGATTTTCAGGATAAGAATTAGAAATCATTTAATAAGTGTAATAAATTAATTACTAATTGACTTTAATGCGATATTTTTGAACACTTCTAAATATTTATGTAATAAAAAATTGTCTTTTTTGTAATTGATCAATGATTTTAAATATGATAATTTTTTTTGTGAAAAAATTGAAAAGGAATAAATATTAAGAGAATATTTATTCCTTTAATCCTAAATGTTTAGGAAAATATTCAATTGCATTTGATTTGATCAATATGTTGACAAATCAAATGTGATTTTTCAAATATCACAAGCAATAATATTTACACAAGTTGATAATGTATTTAAATATGTACAATTTTATTTTATTTTATCAGTATATATGATATAAAAATCAAATTCATCATATAAATATATTCATTACACTTGTATATATGTATTTCAATTATTCAATTTTTAAATAATCATGTTACAATATTACAAATTTTTTTTTTGTGACATAAAATGTTATCAAATGTGATAAGAAAAAATAATATAGATGAACAAGGTTAGTAAGTATGAATCTTAATTCAAAAGTGAAAAATGTGTTGCACATTAGAAAAATTACTTTTGCAAGAGAGTAGAATATTTCTGCAATCTTGATTTGATAAGTTGATAATTGTTGCTAAAATCAACAACATCATTTGAAAAGAAGAGTACTAAACAATCTAATACTCATCAATCGTTGTGTAGAAAGTCAAAGAGTTTCAAATGAGAAAAATTGTCAAAGTAGAAAAAAAGATTCAAGAAAAAATCACAAGTGATTACAATCTAGCATACAACAATTTCTAAGTATCGAAATGATTTCTTGTTGATTGATAAATCTTACGGTTTGATATATGTATAAGAATAGATGATTCATGTTTTGATTGAAAGATAATTTAATTAATCAACTTTTTTTACTTTCAAATTTATCAATTTTTTCATACAAATAATCACATAACATGTTGTTTTTTTATCAATATAGAAAAAATGACATAAAGAGAGTAAAACTTATTTGCATACAAGAATATCTCTCTTGAACGGTATTCATTAGCAAATTTTCCTGCTTAATACGAACATTCATGTTGTTTACCAAGAGTTTAACCTGCTACAATGCAAAGGAGTTGAAGCAAACAAATACAAGACATTTGATGTTAGAAAATTAGCATCACCATATACTTTTGAAGTTGTGACATTGATTTTTTCAGCATAAAAATTTGCAAATACAATCATTTCAATTATTAAAAAAGTTTCATTTTAGAAATCAGAAGTAACCAAAAATTATCTCACGACGTCATCAAAAATTTATTTGTGATTTATAAAGTAACAAAACATGAATTGAGTATAATTATATATTTCCCACTAAAACTTCTTTGATATTTCAAGATGTTTCAAATTAAACTTGAATTTCAAATTTTTTTTAATTCATTAACATTTTATTTATAATTGAAAAAAAACATGTCATTTACGTATAACATAAAAATTTAAAAAAATTTAAAATCCATAAGTGATACTTTTCATATATAAAGAAAGATAATAAAAAATTTGATTGAAACTTTTGTAATTCATAAAATAATGAAGTTGCTTGCCTTATGATGTTTTAATCCATAGACAAATATAATTATGCAACATTTTAAACATTATATATGAAATTCAACTCATTTAAAATATCACAATGAAGAATTTTGACAACATTTATTTACTTCAAATATAAAATCATATATAAAAAATTATTTTAAAAAAAAATTAAATGTATTGAATTACTTGATAATGAAACTCAATCCAATTTATACATTTCTATTCTTGTTAATTCATTGATCATTAACTTGTATTTCAATTTGTACATATGAATTGTGTTTATTATTGTTTATTTATATTTTACTAATTTTCAAAATCTATTTTCAACTAATGAATGCATCTCACTATACATTGTTTCATTCCAAAAATTTTCAATAGTGAATTGAAATTTATTAACATCAACAATGAAAATTTATTATATGTCGGACGATAATCACAAAGATAGTGAGACAATAAAAAAAAATCATTCACGTAGTATTTCACAAAAACGTTTGCAATACTTGAAAAGATGAGACATTGCTTGCCGTCTTAAATAGTCTTTAACTATTGGAACTCATGAATATGATAGCTTGAATCCATTTTCATCAATTCACCGATCTATATTATTTCCATAACTATAATTTTGTTTTCCTTGACTAGCTTGAGTATAGAGTAGAACCTCTATAATCTTATCAAGTTGGGACCGGCCCTTTTTGATAAGTTTATAGAGGTGATAAGTTTCTAGAGTTTATTAAAATTGATTCATTTAATTTTGCTTGATTGGTATCAGATTCATCCGGAAGGTTGAAGAAAGGTATGGAAGGTTACGGCAAGGAATGCAGGACCTCGAAAAGACATAGAAGTTGTTTGATACCTAGGTCCCGTGTGTATTGGCTGTGGTATTGTAATGGGGTGTGTAGGGCACTGTATCCTGGCGTACTGTATACAGTTGGACTGTGTAGAAGAAAACTTTTCAAAATGTAAACAACTTAATCAAGTAAAATCCCTAACCCACGTCAGATACTTAAGCAACCAACAAACAAATGTGAACAAAAGCTTAGGCAGACAACCATTACAAGTTTCTTTAGTCAATCATAGTCCTACAAATGTAGCTCGGAAAGCACATCAACCTGAATATAAGTTTATAAAAAATTCGGGGCAGCCAAAACTTGATAAGTTATAAGATTATAAATTTTTGGCCTGGTCCCATGCCGGGACCGCACAATTTGATAAATTTTTGGAGGTTATAAATTTATGGAGTATAAATTTATAGAGGTTCTACTGTATCATTGATGTTCACGTGTTTTCTTGATTTCTAATCCTTCCCTAAAGACTACTTTTTCTTTTTCTTCTTCTTCTTGTCGACCTCCAACTTAAAAAATACATCTTCTTCAATTGATTGTTTGTCTATCATTTGCATGGTTTTAAAAAATCTTGTCAACTTCCACTTTACTTTCTTCCGCTTTGTTTGCAGAAAGTATTTTGTGTTTTTTCTCAAAGATATTTTTATATTCATCCAAAGTCATCTTGTTGTCTTATTACTTTTATTCTTTCTTCTTTCCATCCTTAGTGACGGCGGTGTCAATATGATTTTCACAATCAAACTTCTTTTCTTCACTGGGATTGATTACTTTTTACTCCTTTTTTGAAGCAGTCTCCATGAACTCTTTGATTTGCTCAACGAGAATCATCTTGCTTCATCTTATTCAATGATGATCCAATGTGATGATCGTGCTTGCGGCGTTTTTTATGATCTTCATTATCTTTTTCATGGCCACAGTCACAATCTTCACAACCACGGTTGTCTCCGCCTCTGCTCCGGCTGTCTTTCAGAGGAGAATTTTTTTCTGCCCTCTCCACAAGGTGTCTTCTTATTTACATGATTAAAGCCGCCATCTCCTTCAAGAGCAACATAACCACACATGATTTACTCCATGATGACAATTGTTGATACACTGATTGTTGTCGCGGTCATTGCAGTTTCCACAATTCTGAAAAGATTCATCAATAATCTCGTGTTTAAATCCTTCATTGTGATCACCGCCATATTCATCACAATCTTGATCAATTTCACATACTTCTCTATATCCACGTCCAATTATGTTGAGGACTCTCTGCTCCTTCATCACTTCAACTAGTGAAGTCAACTTCATAGGAAGTCAAACTGTGACCTACATTGCAATGGGAGTGAGGACTCTCTACTCCTTCACCATTTCAACTAGTGAAGTCAGCTTCATAGGAAGTCTAACTGTGACCTACATTGCAATGGGAGTATGGTGCAATTTCTTGATAGCGGAATTTTTTGTAGTAAAAGACTTAACAGCTCTAATAATTAAAGGTGTGGATTTTTCATTTTCATCTTTGCACAAAAGGTAGAAATAGTTGGTCGACGACATGGTTTAGCTACTGTGAAAAAATCCGTCTCAAGTTTTACCATTGATGGTGTCTACTTTCACCTTCTCATCAAATTTCGTCTTGTTACTTTTTGTGATATTTTTTATTCTAGCCATGAGTAGCACAACAGTCACTATTAGCTAAGCTGACTCTTACAATTACTTGCTACATAGAGCGAAAAACTAATCAATTCAAGGATCCAAAAGATTTAAAAAGATTTAAAAAAGATTTTGAATTATTAAAGAGATGTACAAAACTATAATCATGATTTGCGATGACATAATAAAACCAATAACAAGAAATCAACGATAAAAAATCTAGAATATGGAACAAGATTTACTTTCTTCAAATATCTTTGGCTGGTAATGACAAGGAGTTCTATTTTAACGAGCAGATCATTGATATATTTCTTCAATTGGTCTTGAACATACTTTAGTTAATAACCAACCGAGAACTTAGAAATACCTTTTCTAATAACGTAAATTTGTGAAATGAAAACTCTTTACTTTACACAAATAGGCATATCCACATTGACAAATCATTGACAACCCAACAACAAGATGAATTCAAAAGCATTATATCTCAGAATTTTAGACTCCGCAAGCTCAATCGAGCATCCATTAATTCTAATAAGATCCATCTCTTTCTTGCAATAAATCATCAAAATAGTCATTTGTTTTCATGTTGCACTCCATTCTCTTTTGTTCAGCATTTTTGGAGTTGCGGCCTCAGATCTTCCAAAAAATTTGATTGTATTTTAAATTTTTGATCAATCACTGAAAACCTACTTGCAAGCTCACATTCCTTGTTAGAGGGGAAAAAAAGAAGAAATTTTATTATACTAGTCCTTTATCTGGATCCATATGATCATATTGGCCAAAAAATCAATCTATTGTTGACAATGTAAGAACGAGTGAAAGTATTCATTTAAGATGAAATATATATATCCAAAATTATATATGTGATGAATATTCATAGTGATTTGGTAAAGAAGAGGTTATGATTGAGTCAAAGCAAATATATTAAAATTGTGCTTCATAAGTTTTACATGGCAGATTCTAAGAAAATATAGACTTCTTTGACAAAACATATCAAACTTTTCACGACTCAATATCCAACCGATGTCACTGATGCCACTAACAAGGAAAAGATGTCATGTGTGCACAATGTTTGATATTGATCTAGCAATATGCAAAGTGAATAATTACATGTCAAATTGAGTAAAGTTGTATTGAAAAGAGATGAAAATGATTTTCAAATACAGAAAGAATACTACAAATTATGATTTATTGTCGATGGTTTGATAGACAATGCCAAATCCTTGTTACGCTAAGTTGATGCTAACTATGAACAAGATTTAAACCACAATACCGTTAGACCATTGATCACTAGACCGTCCTACCTTAACTATCTATTTCATCTCAACAAATTTTCCAATTTGACAAATTGTTTCACCTTAACAAAATTTTTCATTGATCAAATATTTCACGGATAGATTATTCCTTGACTAGATTTCTTTCAACTGGATTTTTTATGAATATTTTCTAAATGGACTACTTTGAGAAATTATTATAATTAAAAATTTATATAGCAAAATAAATTTACTTAAATGTTACTATGCGATAAATCAAAGAACCAGGTGTTGTCATCTTTAAAATTCAGTTACAACAAGTATGTGTGTTCTTTATTGCGGTAGTTGGACGAGCAAGGAAAAGAAGGAAGAAAGGAAAGACAAAACATCTTGGAGGAAGACGGAAACACGCTATTTAATGCGGTAGTTAGACGAGCAAGTACAGGAAGTAAGAAAGGAAAGATAAAAAACATCTTGATGGAAGACGGAAACGCGCGGAAGTACAAAAGAGTAAGAAGTCAACAAGAGGATTTGGGATGAATATGAGATGATTCTTGAGGAGAAGCGCAGAGCTCTTATAGCAAGCCAAGCGGATGAAGGAAAGTAGAATGGACGAAAGTACAAAAGAGTAAGAAGACAACGAGATGACTTTGGACGAATATGATATGATTCTTGAGGAGAAGCGCAAAGCTCTTGTTGCAAGCAAAGCGGGAGAAAGTAAAGTAGAATGCGTGGAAATACAAAAGAGCAAGAAGACAACGAGATGACTTTGGACGAATATGAGATGATTCTTGAAGAGAAGCGCAAAGCTCTTGTAGCAAGCCAAACAGAAGAAAGGAAAATAGAAAGTATAGTAGAAGCCAACAATGCTTTTGAGACCATGGAAATGGTTGATAAAAAATCAACTAAAGAATACGTATTGATTAAATTGGGCTCCGACAAGGAAAAGAAGTCCATAGAGAAGCCAGAGAAATCAAAAAGATTGTGAGCATCAATGAGTTACTCAAACCCGCCTAGGGAAAAAAATGCTGCTATGGAAATAGCGGAGGTAGTGGTTGTGGGCGCATTACGGATGGTAAAAGCGTTGATTTTAGAGTTGGTGCTGCAGATTGGCGGATTCAACCGTGCCTGATGAGTCTCGGTCCTTCCTATGGTGGCAAGTAATTGTAAGAGCCTGCTGTGTTACCGTGAACTGTCTGCTCTGAGTTCGTGGTGTAGATTGTTCAAAATGAGAGAGGCGAATCCTAGAAACATTGCATTTGTTCCTCCGCAAGATCTAAATAGCATCTCACATCGTTGATGCAAGTCAATGAAGACTTGTTATAAACATTTTACTTTGTTAAGATAAATATCTCCTTTCCCAAGAGGCTGTCACATCATGCCACACACGACAAGATCATATGGCTGAGATCACATTCGCTTGACACATACTCTCAAACCGAGAATGGATAATCGTACTTATTCTATTTTTCTTCAAAATGTATCACCAAAACAAGTTTAGTCCCAAAATCATCTCCGGTATAGCTTGACATTGTTCATAGCAAGGAAAAACTATAAATTTCTTTAAGTTTTGCATGCTCTCTCAAGTGATTTATTTCAATAGTTCGCTTAATATTTTGATTGTTGAAACGTATTAACGTACAAGAGTTATAATTTAACTCATGTTTACCAAAACAGTTAACGGGAAGTAATTTCACCATTACATTATTTTCTGAAATAATATTGATCAAGAAAAGTTGAATCATGCAAGTTGGATATTTCGTATTCACACTGCTTCTCACGATTTGCACAACTATACACCAATGAAAGATTTTGTGCTCCTTGTGTTTATTAAATTCTAGTCATCTCTATTCTTATCCACTCGTCCAAAATGGAAAACTTAAAAATGTACAGAAGGAAATTGGAAAACCCCAGCAAATCGAAATTGTACACAAAAGAATTACAAGAATCTCTCCCTTCAACGTGCGGCCTTTATTAAGTTTTCAGCTCCGAAGACACGAAAAGAGATAGAACTGTACAACAAACCATTTTCAAGTGATGGCTGCAGGCAGTGATGAGTATGGAGGATTGGCAGGATCAGATGGAATGATCGAGAATCGATGAGGACTGCATCTGAAGGAAGAAGAGGGCGGGCAGCTGATGTACAGCACCCACCGAAGAGAAGAGAAGAGGAATCGGGTGCCAGTCAACTAATGAATCTTGTTGGGTCCTACAAAATCTCGACTGCACCCCTCTGCACCCGTCTCCTCTCTCTGGGTGCAGTAAAGTGTCCAAATATACAAATCCATATATAGAGATATACATGGACACACACTCATACATCACTTCGTCCTCGACTACTTGGCACGTCTTCTTGCTTTTAGATTGGACTGTTTTTTTCGCCCCACGGTGCGTCATGTGATACATAGAATCAGCTCAGGAGAAGCACAGATTGATGCTCATCGTTGAACTCCTTGTTCGTATTTCCAGGTCCGTAGAAGTACATACGATCAGAAATTTCATGTACAATGGGAGTAGAGTAGTCAACTCTCCTCCTCCTCCTGTAGATCGATCGATGGATCGCGTTCCTGAGAAGTATATGCGCAATGATTTGGGAGTGGATCGACATATGTCAGTCTGATCATGCACTGTATGGGCTTGCTGAGGGGGCTGACAGTGATTGAGGCTTGGGAGGCCACTGCTGGGAGTGTATATATGTCTGTGCTCACGCAAGCCACGCTCAGAAGGACTGTCATCTCGCTCAGCCGTTTCTTCCGACCACCCTCAGTCTCGAGGCAAGAGCCAGCTCGATCGAGGACGGGCTCTTGCCTCAAGGCCTTCGGGTCTGAAACGGATGGGAGCAACAGGCAAAGGGAAAGGGAGGGTCGGAAAAAGTGGACGACTTACTCGAAAAGAAACGAATTGGAACGGTAAACGGATATCGGAGAAAAGTGGGTGGATGAGCTTCTGCGCAATTCCGCCGGTGGAGGATGAACGAAGTCTTTAGACTTGGTCGTGGGTCCCGGCAGAGGATCTGATCAGACTGTGACGATATCATCTTCGTGCACTCCGAGACGGGACGAGAGAGGTTGTCCAACCGTGGGGGATGCTGATGTGAGTGAGAGTGGAGATGGACTGCAGTCTTTCGTCAGTGTCTCTATCTGTCGTAGAGATTTCTTCTCGACGTCTGCCAAATGCTGGACGACCTTCGAATTATTGGGATTGATCTGCTCTCCCATGCTGTTCAGCTGATCTCATCTTTTGCGCCTCCATTCTATTTCAGATGCATCTTTATTTCGGCGAGCGTAAGATCTAGATCCTGGCTTAATGACATGCGCTGCAGCCAAGATATTCGCAATAGATTGCGCCGCACCAATGGCGGACGATATCGCTATGCACCTACTGAAATTTGGTGGGAGACTGTCGATGGTGTGCACGTCCACTTCAGAGCCTCTGAAGAGCTCCACTTCTCACTCATCACTTTTGTATGCCGATTGGTATTCACCAGAGCTTGAAGACTGGGATCTGATGTATGTGCACCTGCATGCCCACAAACCTCGTCCTTCAGTATGAGTGAACACAACAGAGATGAGATGCTACTGGAAAATGAATATATCTCTTGGGCTCCTGCATTCGCATCTGCACTTGCATCCATCCCCATCTCCGAGTACAAATGGGTATAGGACCGAAGAGAGATACTTCATTTCATCTGCGCTGCTGCCTCTCAGAACCTATCGAGATCCAACTTGAAATTGAATATTTCTCGTTGTCTCCATCCGCATCTGCACTCGCATCCCCATCTGCAAGTGCAGATGAGGATCAGAGCTAACGAGAAATGTTCTGAAGAGCAGCATTCCTTTATATCTGCTGACACTCAACGCCTAACAGCAAATGCTTTTCAAGTCGTCGGTAAACAGCAGATTCAAGGTCGTGAAGATAGAGTTCGAAACATCATCATTGACACGGTGCACCGAAGACACGTCTAACCCCATTGGCTAAACCTCGGCATCGTCACATGTGCAAGTCTGTGCAGTTTCAGAGACGGCATCAGCTCCGAGAATGATAGTTTTGGAGCAGACGACAGAATCAGTACCAGAACAACATTCTCCTCCCTCGACACCTGAAGATTAAGAGCACAATTAGATGAAGCATTAGTTGATTTCTGATCGGGTGTGCAATATTTTCCTCTTTTTTCCAGCCCAAATCTCACAGCACTTCACTGCTCGCGATCTCGATCACCGATCGAGAGTGCTCTCAAAGAGTGCTCTCGGTGGTGGCAGGGTTCTACTACCACTAAACTGCTCTCAACGTTCTGCATCTCCAGCCTTCGACTTGGAGATGTGCACGATACTCCCCAGTTCCGGTTACCGGTTACCTTCGTAATGCCAATCTGTGCCGCCATGTCGCACAAACGGTCCCAAGTACACCTCTCGTGCCGCTGACTTCGTACCGGCACGCCTCAAAATGATCGAAATGCTTCAAGTCAATGCCGGTCCACGGCAAATTCGATACGAGCGCTGGAGAATATTCTCCAACGAAGAAATCCAGCTCCACCGTCTCTACAAGTTACCCGATGCGACCCGCGGCTGGTTTTCTCCAAGTCTTTCGTCGTGGACCTGGACACGATCCACAGGTCCGCTCAGCTGCCCTGCTTTTGCCCCATGGTCATAACTACAGGTCCTAACCCTGAACCGGTGAGTTTTTCGGCACACTGGGACTCGGTGTCGACCAATTCTCACCTCCGTCATTTAGTCCACTGGACAATGCCAGCAACGTCCGTCCGCGGAAGCGCCGACTCGCATGCACTGTATAGCGGTCGGCCCGGCTGGAGCCGTTAGTACATGGAGCCGGCTCAGCTCGGAGCCGATCGCCATGACAGAAGCCGGCTCGACTAAGTCGTAGCCGAGCCGGTCTGAAGCCGGCTCGAACCCGGCTCGACTACGTCAGCTGAGTAGAGTCGACTAAGTCGTAGCCGAGCCGGCCCGAAGCCGGGCCGACCCCTAGTACTGTACTATATCCAGAACACACAATCCAACCCTCGTGCCCTTCTGCTCAAGTTCGAACCGTATTTTGACCGCGGTTAATGGCCGGTGCAAACCCTCTCAAGGCGCCGCCTCGTGATTACACAATATAAGCCCTATCATCAAACGAAGTCATAATTAATTACAGTATTGGAGACTCTAGTTTAGAGTATCTGACGATTCATACCTCCACGTAATCACAACTGTGATTAGGTGGAGGTATTACGTGGCGATTACGTGGCTATTACACGTCGATGCATATCTGGTTTGGAGGTAAAAGCTGAAGTGCATAGGTTCATGGTCTCCATGGATTGCAGAGATTACGAGTAGAGCTGACCAGTAGTTCGTCCTATGAGCCTTGGGCTCTTTCATGAACTGAACCTGAACAGACTAAGACGAAGGTGCTCATCAGCGTCCTTCGTGGTGGGTCAGGTGTGGACCCAGAGTGGTATCATAATGTGAAAGCCTCGTCTTTCAGCTCGCCGGATCCAGATTACTCTTGTGAGCACCCATCGTACTGACGGCGAGCATCCATGTAGGTGCTCCACTACCACAGGGTGACAATGGAAAGAGATGGATTTTGTGAGTCAACCTTTGAGAAACAATCATATGCTCGTCGCACTAACGTAGATGTGGTGATTCAAACGTTATGGATCAGACAAAGAAGACTGCGAGTGATGCCATATACGTGTTGTATCAGATGAGATTTCAAGCTGAAATGCTCCTCAATTCTCTATCTTTATCTGGCGTATCTTTATACGCCAAATTTCTGCAGGCAAAGCTTTGAGCGTTATGAAACTGTGACGAGTCTTAAGTCTTCAGACGAGCATCGCTGTTGTTCGAACCGATGTTGTTTCTACTATTAACCCTGATTGAAGAGTGGACGGTTCATTGAGAGAAACTGAGACTGACACAGGTTTCAAGTGCGCTCCAATCTGGTACCTCAATTGCTCGCTGTATGCAGCTGATGTCTCCGTACGAAGAGGAATGTCTGTCCACCTCAGCGAAGAATTTGAGCTCCAACTTGCCAGCTTCAATGATGTAGTTGCTGGACCTGATGGATTGAGCACCTCTGCAATCCTGTTCTGTGTCTATGGAATGCCTCTGCCATCCTGGACTCAGGGTGGAGATCATGCGCTTGATTCGAATTGACGAGACGTTTGCAAGTTGATTGGACGACATCAATGATATGTGTACTGAAGTTGTTGAAAACGACTTCAGGAGCTGAAATGGTCGTCTTCACGTTGATATAAAAGCGTTTAGAGGGTGGATAAGATTGTCGAGGTGCTGTTGGCGGCAGGCTCATCTGCTTAACTCTTAAAGGTCTGAAGGTGAGCTTTGCGAGGCAGTTGCGTCCGAATCGTTGAATAGCCCATCCGACAATCGCTCCTACAGCAACAGAAGAAGAAGAAGAAGAAGCAGAAGAAGAAGATGATAAAGAGGAAGGCAATGACAGCATTCAACCCGCTGACGAGGACTGACTGAGTTCGCCGAGAGTTTGCAAGATTTGACTGCCATCCCTCCTCTTCGTCCGAGTCATATGTCATGTCCAGAGTAGATGGAATGATGACCTTAAAAGTTGGAATCCGGCTCTTAGAAGGACATTTCCCGTGAGAGAGATGCCGAGATGTTGCGTCGTGGATTCTGGCTGGTAGATGTCCGGCTGCGTCGTTGCGGATTCTGCACCATGTGTGCAGGATTCTGTGCTGTTCTGTGCCAATTGTGCAGGATTCTGCTGGATGGTCCGAGTCGCCCATTGATAGATTCAGCCACTGCGCATTTCTAAAAGGATTTCCATGCCGTAACAATTTTGTCCTCCTTCGATTCTCCTGTACTTTCCGACATGGAACTCTATATACACTGTTGTGTATTATGAAGTGTACAATACAAACCTCGGGTTGTGTCACAGACTCTGGATATTCACCGGTGAACCTGTACTCACGCAGAGGACGATAATGATGTCCGTGCCTCGTGACTGTCGCCTGATTTCACATACACAGAAGAGATTGAGAATCTGCACTTCTTCTAGACTGCTGGGGGGTAGCATTTGGTTCCTGAGGGTGGGGGACACAGCCATGCTGCGAAAACAATATCTGAAGATTCTACCAAGTTTCTGCCCTGCCCTTGGGGTTCTTGGAAAGGGCCATGAATGACAGATTGACGAGTAAGTACACCAGTCTATGGAAGGAACTACCATCTTGCGGCAGGCAAGTGCCAGGCATCCGCTCTCGGGAGAGGAATCGTTTGATTTTTCAATATATGAACACAACTTAAGAATTTTTCCCAGTCCTTCAAAGGAAGTGACATTTGCACGTTTGAAAGGGCTCTATTTCATCACATCTCATTTGCGAGTGTATTGTGTTGAGCTACCAGACACAACTCGGCTCTGGAGGCTAGAAACTTCGTCTCCAATCATGACATTGCAGCAGGTCCCATTATGAATTTCGAAAGAATGAACCCACAGGCACCAGGTGCATTCAGGACAGCAAAGGAGGTTTGAATCTGATGTCCTAAATTATTATTGCTATACTGTATAGCAATAATAATTCAGGACATGTGTTGCTGTATAGCCTATACAGCAACACAAACTATTGTGCAGTGATGGTGCTAACAATTGTCACAAAGTGGAAACCTCGGAAAAGCGTCATAAGCAACTCTTCACTCATACACCAAAATTTCCCATGACTGATTTTAGAGCATTCCCGCAATAAAAGCTAGGGCTAGCATGACACCCATTCATCTTTCGACTCGAATTAATCGCTGTCGTCTCGTAGGCGAATTCCGCCCGCAAAGCACCGGACGGCGAACCTTCGAGACGGTCATCACATCCGCATATAAAGAGTTGCGGAGTACAGCCCTGCACGAAGAGCTTTAGTTTGCGAAAATCGAACCGATTGGGTTTAGAGGAATTCACTTGTTCTGACAGTTAACAAAGAGAATGATTCCAAGAAAAAACATACTTCATGCTTTTATTTGATTCCAGCATACTTGAATAAGAAGAAAACCAGCTCAGATACCATATTAGAACAGATGTTAGAGAGCAATGCAAAAATAGATAGACGCATATTCTGAGTTCTAACGAGTAGTTCTGAGTTATTGATTAAACAAAGGGCAAGTATTGAATTTAAGTACCCAATTCGAGATGACAAAAAAAATGATGAGAGGAAAGACCTCCGTAATGGATAAAGGTTAAGGTCGCCATTCCATCACAGCTATAATCTACAGTCCTAATTATAAGTATATCAAGAAGAAATAACAAGGAATAGAGAATATAACAATATTCTAACATGGTGAGACAATCTCTCGTAACGTATCAGAGAACTTACCTATGCTACGTACAATCTTGATTGAAGGACTTATACTGAGGTTGAGTTGTCTTCATTAAAGAGTGTACTATGCAAACTACACGGTTTGAACATGCTGGAATTATCAAAATCTTACAGAAATCAATTATTGTTGTTATAGGTGACTATCGGAACTGCATCTGATTACTCAGCATGTTATAATGCTGGAAGATGGAGAGAAACTGGACAGTTGAGACTCGTGAAATAGTTTCCGCGTGTTAGTTTGTGGATGTCTGGACGATAAACAAGTTTTACGACCGGTGAAGATGAAGATTAGGATGCCATGTTTCTATTTTTTAATTACCAGAACTCTAACGAGCACAATCATGAAAGAACTGCTTTTGTTGTCAAATTTTAATTTGTTTCGAGAAATTTCATAACGCGGAACTAGCTGTTAATTAAGTTTCTTCGTTTCCAGGTTGCAGCGTGTTCTGAATGACATGGGAGACAAGACAGCAATTATATTTGTGAACACAAAGAAATCAGCTTATTCATTGTCGAGGCAGCTTGATAGGTTAGGCTACCGAGTGACTACACTGCATGGTTGGAAAACCCATGAGCAGCGAGAGGTACGACTGAACCGATTAATTGGAAGAAAATATGAGCCACTCCTCTTGTTCTAGTTTTGTTTTGAAAATACCACTCTCCTTCGTGTTTTTGTGCCTTACTGATAGATCTAATGTCCTGGATATTTTCAGTTCCAAACTTATGATCTTCGCATGTTATCGTTCGCTTGCTTGCAGATAAGTCTGGAGGGCTTCAGAAATAAACGTTACAACTATCCGGTTGCAACCGATGTTGCTGTACATGGTATCGATATTCCTGTGAGTACATACCCCAGTGAAAAAAAACTTCTTTTAAGTCGGGGAATCCAAGTTAGGGCACCAGTTAGGAATATTTTTTGAAATTATCTTGGGAAGTTCCAGATCTGGGTCCCTCCCGGGACTGTGGACACTTCTAACCCCGAGACGATTCAACCTTCATGTATGGCTTACTTGTTCCATGTCTAATTGACGCAGGATGTGGCGCATGTGTTGAACTTTGACATGTCCAACAATATTG